TTGCGGCGCTTCGCGCCGCCGATTCATACACAGGTCAATAAGAGAGATCGTGACTGTATGCTACTAATGCATTGGGCATTAGACTAATGCATAGGTAAGTGAGGTAACTATATCTACTACTTCTGGGTTTTTAAGTCGGTCGATCCGCCCCCCCCCCCCCCCCAGTAAAAAAATCCGTGGCGACGCTCCTCTATAGGTGGGTTTCACTAACTAAAACTACTGAGCCGAGTGACTTACGATAAAACTTCAACTCAGAAACGACGAAGATCAAATGTCATTTGATCTCGACATACTCGCTCCCTACCCCCCCCCCCCCCCCCCCCCGGTCGTCAGAATTCATTCATCAGACCTGGCATGTCGGCCGACTGGTGACCCCCCCCAAAACGTTCCCCTAGATCCGCCCTTGGTCCTGTCTCCGCCGGCGGCCCACCCGGAGCTGGAAGGTCGCCCACGTGGCCCCCAACCGCGACAGACGGTGGAAACGGGCACGTCGGGGCAACTTACGCCCACATCGTCAGCCACTTAAAGGTAGTGTGCCACCTTTGAAAGATTTCCCATTTTATTTTTCCTAGGATAAGAAGCTTCTGTTTTTACCTAATATCGCAAAAAAAAATCAAAAATGGGCCTGGAATAGTGCCTTTTTCGCCTAAAAGTTTTTCGGTTTTTAGATAGGTATAACAACTGTAGTGGGCTCACCTGCAAACAGGCGTCGGGCAACAATCGCGAATGCGGCGCACTTGTGACAATAAGCAAAGGTCATTATAGTGTTACGACCATACGACGTACGGGAATGAGTAATCAGCTGTCTAATCGTAGACAACACAATGTCGAGCCTTAAACTGTAAGCCCGTATTGGTATTGTTTCTTTTATTTGGCTGTCGAACATTATTTATGGTTTGAAATATGATTTTATGTAAAATAATTGATATGAAAAAGCCGTCTTATAAGTTATGACCCCATTTCACCACACGCAAGTGGCAGAAATGACAATGATCAGCTGACGCATTTTTCTTGGCCGAAGTCAGAGCGCGCGGCCCGACGCACCACGCGTATTTGGAAATTCCAACCTCGACGAGCATCAGAAGCCACCTAACAGGCGTGTTCGAAACCGCAGGAGATGATGATGAACGGGTTTATCGAAACTTGATTGGATGAGCATATCGGTAATAGCGATTTCAGTGTGTGCATTTATTGTTCATAGTGGTGTGAAATGTGGTTGGGGTACGACCGACAACCCGTCGGGGCGAATTTCGCACTGGGGTACTCAAAATTTGAAGAATTTAAGACGTTTCCATGAGTTTTGAAGGTATGGATAAGTTCTAAAAATCCGGTTCTCCTTATCTGGGCCATTAATTCCATACGGTCCAAGAAAGCTGGCACACTTCCTTTAAACTGACAACATACCAGTGGGTGAGACCTGCCTGCCACATGCCAGTGCCACCCTGCCTTCTCCGCAGACCAAGAGACATTCATAATTCAACATCACACGATTCAATATTCGCTGCAAGCGAAACGGAGGGTCATCCCATGCCACCGTTTGATGCTGCAACTTGGCTAAATATTTGAACTAAAAACACCGGTGCCATTGAGGTGAGCCTATCCGTCGGCGGTGACCCGTTACTGGTCTGGCGCCCAGCCGCCGCCGTTGACACAGATCGGCCCCCAGTAATGAGTTTGATAACACTTCTGGGGACCCGTCGCCGCGCTGCCTATCCAGAATTTAATTATCGACAAATTGTAATTAATGACTCACGGTAGCGGGTCATGCGGGCCACCGCGTATCCTCTCTACCGCGCGTGGCTACTGGCCGTTGTGGGCGGTGCCGACCCGAGCAGCACTGAACCGTGGGCGGTGGGCGGTGGCGAGCCGGGGCGGAAAACACAACCGACCATACCGCCGACTTTATTTCTGTTGGCCGGGGCATTAGCGGCGGCGTCTGGCGATGAAATGACGCCTGTTGAAGGAAGCAAAAACAGCGCGGGGCAGCCATGTGGCGCTTCTCAGTCGCTCCTGACGCCGGCCGCCTCGCATATATTTGCTTTTGCAGTCCGCTTCATCGTTATCCGGCGTGACAAATCGATTTTTCCGCTTCCGGGGCGGCGGACGCTTAATGCCGGTCCCGATGCTATTCATTGAGTCAGACAGAAGCCAGCCTGCCCGCAGGTAGATAGCAGGGTGGCTGTGTGCCATTTCCACGGCTTCGGCTACCTGTAGTGATTTACATTTCACTTAGCTAACAAAGCGCCCATGGAGATTGTGGCATTTTTCAGGACCGTGTGACCGTCAGAGCCCGATAACGTCCCGCCTGATCACCGTGCTACTCACGAGTGGGAGCTATGAACGCGGCCATTTGCATAATCCATGCAAATAAAGCACATTAGGAAACACAAAGTGGCTGAAATGGGATACGCAACTGTCATTTGTGGCTGTAGAATTCGTGAGAGTTGTCAGTTTTCCATCACTTGGACTGCCCGTGGCGGGCTCGGTTGCGTCAGTGACCTTTACTTCCGATGTGAATTCGAGCTTTTACCAGGGTCACACATGGATCAGAGGCGTCCCCGTCCCGATCAGGGGCCGAGTCCCACTGCCCGGGACGGCGCGGTGTGCTGTGGCCGAGCTCAGCGCGCAGGGTGGTCGGAAGCCCCCGGTGGGCTCTCACCTCCGACGGCGACCGACCGACGATCGTCGACGGCGGCATCCGACTGCCGACCGAAATAGACAAACACGGCGCGCCAGAGGTGGCCGAGACGCCGGCGGCGCGGCGCGGCGCGACGCGCGCTGTCGCCTGCGACGATCAGCGTGTCGCCGCGCCGACCCCGTCGGCCGCGACGTCCGGCGGGCGGGGATTCCTGTCTGTGACTACCCCGGACCGACGCTGGACGCACCGGCGCCACCGGACCCTCGGCAGACCCCGGGCAGACCACCGACGGACCGCCGACGGACCGCCGACGGACCACCCGCACACTCCCGGCGGGCCGGTGGCGCAACACCGGCGCGCTGTCGACGTGACGCGGCGCGTCGGCGGCGATAGTGGCGCGGACGAGCGGCTCGTGGCGCGTGACGCCCGGACCCGTGACGCACGCCAGGCGCAGTGGTTGCGTGAGGAAAGCAGGGATTGCGGATTGGGCAGGGCGAGATCGGGATGGGCGATGGTCCCGGTGAGCAGATTTTTAGTTATACATTTACTATATAGGTACTTACATGAGTACATTATATTGGAGAAGTAGGTGGAGAAGTAGGTACACGCGTTCGCTTGTGTGGAAACGGACACCAATGCGACTTACATAGTTCCTATCTCTGTATATGATTAGATAGGATTTAGGTTCTCCCTGGAGCATTTCTTTATATTATTTTTACTTCTATTCACATTTTCTCCGTCACATCATTCGGTTCTCTTAGCAGTGAGCTCCATCTCATTCATCTTCGTTAGATGACTTCCAAGGCGGAATTTTGTAAATGATCTTGTTAATGTTGTTCCTGGCTACAAAGACCGCCGGAAGATTGTCATCTTCTGGATCAAAGGCACTGCTGTATTTCTGAGCCCAAATCTCAGCCAATTTGCCTAATAATGTTCTCCAAAAGTCACCCTAATGATTTTGCATAATGATTAGTCTGAAGATTGGCTGTGATATGTCACATAGCTTTGTCTGCTGTCCTTCTCCTTTGCCACTTAATTCTTTCACTTTTCCTGAGCAACGGTTTATTGCATGAGCGGATAACCATGATGGAAAACTCATCAGAAACATAAACGTTGGATTCATTTTACAAGACTTCGATGGCGCGAACACTTTTTTAGTACGGCGCATTGAAAGGAACTGAGAACAAATAATGGTTTATATCGCAGCTTCATGAAGGGAAAATTTCAGTGTTACCTTCACCACAAGATGCACTCCTTGTTCGAACGTATGTAGACCATCTACAGAGGTCCTCCATGAAGCTCCTCAGTCAGTAGCCCGCCCGCGCCGCCGATGGTCCATACTAGGCCAATATCCCAGCAGGTCCAGCGAAGGGCCGCTCTTCACATCGCGATAGGCATATGACCGCTAACCGATAGGTGCGTGGGTGGTTGTCGGCTTGTTGACTTGTTTACATGCATTGGCTAATCAGAGCCGAGTACCTCCTCAAAGAGTTCATGGCTCAAGTTGGTATAGCAAGCTTTACGACGCAACAAAGACGTGCACTGTAGGTACCTAAACGGGCTGAAACTTGTTTGCTTCGAGTGCAGATCCACGATGACTGATATGTGATACGAGATAACGCTAAAACATAGGCATTGCTTATCAGGCACATGACTAAACAACTTCCTCGATGCAGTGCTAATGTTGCTGCTACCATTTATTTATATCGCCGTCCTATGGAGCTCTCTACCACTTACAACCTGTCTCCGAAGCGTGCTTGGTCGCATTCATCACAGGTCTGATTATGATGAATTATGGCATTCCCAGCGTTACATCCCATCTCGGGATGATTTGCCGCACCTCTTGTACTGGCGTCACCATACATGATCTACGGCGACAATTAGTCGGGCGTCGCGCGACAGTGCGCGACAGTGCGACACTGCCGGCGACAGCGACGGCGACGCTATCGGCCCGGAGCCGCCGCCGATTCGCGCCATTAATTTGGCGCGCCGGAGGGCGGTGGCAGCGGCTTGTGATGCCGACGTCGAACGATTGCAGCCTGTTGTGCTCCGGCTGGACGATCGAGCCGTGCAGGGATAGATCGAGAGGTGGTGTGGTGGACTCCCTTCGTCAGAACTGACCTGTCGCCATAGATGTATTAACGGGCACCGCACGTCAAAGCACCCGTAAACCATCAAGCCCAAGCCGGCCGTCACAACATCCAAAAATTCATGACCTCCTGACTAGAATGATAGTAAGACTACACCGTTTACACCATTCCCTTTCGCCGTTTTACGCCAGCAAAATATCCTACGAATCAAGACGATCCTTATCGCATTCGCGCGGCACAACTTTGACGGCCCGTTTTCTCCCTTCCACCAGGTGCTGGTGTCGTCCATGCGCTCGGCGCGGCAGTACGCCGAGCTACCCGTCGATCCCGGGTCACCGGTCCTGGCCGATATGCAGGTGGACCTGCCTGGGGAGCACGTCTACGTTCCCACAACACAAAAGGTGAGCGAGCGGTGAACGCTCTGTGTGAATTAAAATGTGTGGGATGCCTATTGTTATTTGTCCAATCAACGTTGTGTGTAAACTGTAAGCTTATCGCAGTTAAAAGTTGACAGCTTTCAATTTAGCTCATCATTTTCAGAATTCATATGAGTTGACGGTTGAAAATTACTGGCCGTGTAATCCCGTGAACCCTTTACGATCGCTCTGTTGCGAGCCCCGCTCAGCCCCTGGCTCACGTCGTCATGGCAGCTGGACGCCGCCGGCTGCAGGGCGCTGCAACTGAAAACCGATAGTGTTCCCGGCTAATTCGCGTGAGCGGCGCCATTTCGGCCGTCCACTGTTATCGTAACTCAATATTGGAGCGGCGGGAGCCGGTTGACGCGCGTCCCCTCCGCCCCTCTGCCGTCGTCTCTCGGCTCTGTCCCCGACGGTGCGCTCCCCTCCCCTCCCTGTCGGCGCCGGACCGTCAGCGTCACGTCAACTCCTCGGATGTCGTGATTGGGACCGGGGACGGCGCAACCTGAGCCGTACCCGCTCCCGGCTAATCGGGCCATTTGAATAACAAAGGGGAGAGACGGCGGACTGCTGTCGGCATGATGAGCCGGCCGGCTGACTCCCAGCTCATCGGATGACTCCACTGGGGGAGGAAGGATTGACTCTCCCGGAGTCTCCCTGGGTCATCGAATGACTCCGTCGGAGAGGGACCGGTATGAATTGACTCAGACGGCTAGCAGTTCATCAAGCTCTTAGCCCGCAGGATAAGGGGAGAATCGATTCTCGGAGCCTCAGAGGTAAAATTACAGCAGTTCTCTTCCTTTTGGTAAATTTGTTGAAACAGTCCAGTGCTGGTCTTCAGAGCGGTTCCAGGAATTTTCAGCATATGATTTGATTTGGAGCACCAAATGGAAAGTTGTATCGAGTTTAGGATCGCACAACCACGTGATGGGGGCAAATCTCTGCCACTGCTGCTTGCCGTCAAGTTGGTCTTTAATCGCGGACCCTCCGAGGTGCTTGGATCGCGATTCTGACCCGACTTAGCCGGGCGAGTCCGACTTTGACCCAGCACGGGGCGGCGACGGATGTCCTGACCGGGGATGATCGCTGGTCCAGCACCGCCATCCCTCAGTGCCACACAAAAGTTGGAGTGCTTCGAGCCAGAACTTTGGACAAAACCGCGAACCACGCTGAAACAAACGATGCCCGCTGCATGACGAAGCACCTCACACGATCCGGTGGGAGGAAATCATGGCCCGCTCAGCACTGCAACGAATCATGGATCAGCTAAAAACTTCACAATTCGTAATTCGAAACCAGATATTGGTGAAGACCTGGCCTCTACAAGGAAATCATCCCAGTGAGACGTGCGCCGCGCACTCCCATGGCCATCAGTCCTGCGGGACGCCTGATGTCAGTCCTGCGCACTGTCTGTCGCGCCCTTGCTGATAGGAGAGACTGCTGACGTTCACCCACTGACGAGTTACGACTGACTCACGCAGAGACCCTGTCTGACGTATCGTCCGCAACAGTGACCAGTGACGCGGTGACGTGGCGCGGTGCGAGAATGACCTCTGACCTCACCGGCGCAGGGGAGCGACCGGACGTGCCGCAGGTCTATCGCGGTGCTGACCGTGAGCTTCCCTTATCAGTTCTAGCGATACGCATGGTTCATTCGCTTGCATGGGACGTCATAAAACGCAACTTCTAAGCACTCATTTCTTTCAAGATAAATGCAAATGACCCATTGGCGTCTCTCGTAAATTCGCGATGCTGCCAGCCTTGAACAAACAATGCCCTCCGATTCGCTTCACTAGTGCCAAACAAATGAACAGCATTGAAGCACAACATATTTCCATGCGATTCACCAACGGTGCTGATGTAATACCCGCCATTGGCCATTGATTTCAGCGCGTTTATCATTAAAACAACACGCTGACGTCCTAAAGATACCCCCGACGTGACGTCAAATTGATCAAGGGGAGGCGTCCGCACTCGCAGCGATGTTTGCCACTCACTAGTCACTCCCGTTGTTAGACCTCCCTCATTCCCGGTATCTCTAGCAATACGCAATAGAATAGCTTCGCGGGCACAAAACCCTTGATGCAAATTAGCGCCTGTAAAAACAAGGCCCGCCCATAAAGTACACGGGACCACCAACAGTGCCAGCGCTCAGCTCGTAGGTAAACAAGCGAATAAATAATATCCAACATACGAGCCGAATCCAGGCTGGCTCATTTAGCGGCCACCCTGGCTTTGTCGCCTATTTATCACTGTGTTTTAATCACCACTGGCTACTCTGAGCCCTCAGAACCCCTGTACGGCTGCCGCCTCTGTAGCCCGCCCAGCGCGGTCGGACGGTGCGTGGGGCGGGTCCCACCTCTTCCACCTCCTCTGCGTTCTGTTCGGTGCGACCGCCGCGCGCGTGCGGCCGCCGCAGACAGGGCGGAGCGCTGTCGTCTGTCGCCTCCGCAGGCGAGTGTAATTTGTCCGCGCTGCGGCGTCCGGAATTCATTAGGCGGCCTGCCGCGCGGCGCGCATTGTGTGAGCTGCGTCTGTTTGCGCGCCGCCGACTCGTGTCGGCGTGTCGTGTCACGGCGCCGGCTCGCTGAGTCGTGTCGGCGAGTCGGAGAGGTGTCAGCCGCCGGTGGAGATCGGGAAGACAGCCGGTGGCACGGCGGGCTCAGAGAGCCGGGACAGGCCGCAGACGGACTGATGGCTGAGAAGATCGGACGAGGCGTCTGCGGGAGAAGCGTATAGTGAGAGTGATTCTCCCTCGGAATTCTGACGTCCTCTCCCTGCGCTGTGGTGGGCAGAGTCTGCAGAGAAGCCGATGAGGATCAAACGAGCTAAGCTGACCGGGCAGTCACCACTGACCGAACAGGGAGACTGACCGGGAGGACTAGACTTCCCGGTAGTTAGAGGTACCCAGAGGACGCACAGCCTACATACACGTCACCACGGGGCCGCTGACCTGGCCGGCACGTGACGGAGACCCTCTCGAGAGGATCACTATCACCTAGGTGTTAACTGGAGAACAAACCGCCGGGTCAGCCGCCGCGCACAAAAACAGGCCGTTGCGGTGGCGAGGTGCATTGGGAGAGGCGCCGCGGGTCAGGCCCGGTCAGTGCGAACGCGTGCCACGTGCGACCAGCCCAGCTCTGGCACAGGTGGGCTAGGACACCATTTTGTTTGCCTTCGTTCTCCAGCAACTGATAGTCATGCATCGTATTCATGCCAGGTGATGTCAGATTCACAGTGGAGCATGGTTTAATTAGAATAACAAGGTCTACGGATTACTGATAGCACATTATACTTCCAAGTTCCAACAACAAGCAGATTGCACTTTCAACAACCTGCATGTTCAACGTAACCGGACGTATGAGGTCTCAGTGAATTAAGTAAGACATGCACGTATGCAAATGTTATCTGTCCCCTTGCATGGGGCCGGCGTATTTGGCTCTGCATCACGTCACGTCGCATCACAATAAGCGCCGTCACTGCTCGCCGCGGGGCGCCCACCGGCCAGATGGCCATACCTCAGCCGAAACGAATCGCGGCAGCTCGTATTGGGCCGTGGCCGTGCCCGGTCGGACCGTCCACAGGCACGTGCCCTATTGTCGAGCCGTCCAGCGAGTCCATAACGGGCCGATAGAGAGCCGCAGAGCCGGCTGGTCGGGCGCCGAGCGCCACTTTATTGACGGCCCCCTGCCGCGGCGCCGCGACGCCACCGGCCTCTCAGGCTTTACGATGCTCTTACTTCTTGGGCCGTAACGCTACACTTACGGCGTCCTTTCGCTAAAACAATCGCACGCAGAGACGAACTCCATCTGAGGAAGGCTCGGAAAAACGTGCGCGCAGCTGTAAAAATGTCATCACGGGTCGTTCATCAGCGGCGGAGTGGGCGCGGCCCGTCTCCAGGGGACAACCGAGTCGGACGGGCTCCATCTGGCCGGACACCCCTCGGCGCAACGCCCCGAGATTAATGACTTTTTAATGATCTCCCTCGCAGGAATTTGGACTGAGTGCATATTTATAGAGCCCCCTCCTAGAGCGTGTCTGCGACGCGGCAGGCGCCAGGATCACCCTGCTGACGTCTGGTGTTATCTCCTCAGTTTTCAGCTCCCGGGATGTCAGTCTCCCCTTTCCTGTTCCCCCGTCAGTCATCAGGGTGATCCGCAGACTTCCCACAGTTTTCATCCCTTTGACTCCAGCCTGAGCACTGTCTGTCGTTCCCTCCGTCTCCTGACACAGTTGTTTGTCGCTCTCGCCTCTGCGGGGAGGCATACGGTGGGGTGATGAGGACTACACAAAAACAGCCGAGACAAGCTGGTGAGAAGTGGCTTGCATGGCTTGGCTTGCCATAAACGGTCGCTATTTCTATAAGTATGCATAACAACCAACTTTGACTCTGAAAGCCACCCATAGTTCACTTCTACCTGAACAGGACAAGCTCAACCAACTATACTGTCTAGTGTCTTTCATTGCAACCATATCAGAAAACAGGACTGTAAGACGTATCATTCAGTTCAAAAACAGGCATTGTCCTTTCAGAGAAGAACGAATTGTCTCCGCCAGCCCCACCGCTTGTCATCGGATTGATAATAGGAAGGTGGAGGAGCGGATGAATTGTCCTCACTGACGAGTGACGGTGGTCACTGTGACCCCTCTGCGAGAGGCGCCGTCTCGCCGCTGACCCGTCCCGCTGCCGGTCTGTCGCCTCTGAGTCACCCTCTGCCGTCCCGTGGGTGTCGTCCAACGGCCTGTCCTCGGAGGCCGCCTGTCCGAGGGACCGGCAGCAGGCCAGCCAGCTCACTGTTTATTCAGAGCGCGATTAAAGCCGCCGCGCCGCTATCATCCCTGCAGCGTCTGTCTCCTGCGGCCGATCGCCGCGGATCAATCAGTGACCGAGTGGGGCGTGCACCCCCCCCCCCCCCGGGTGTCAGCACCTCACCGGTGTCAGCACCCCAGCGTCAGCTCAGCGCAGGCCGCTGACACGCCAGGAAGTCGGTGTTTTGGTTCGCAGTTCGCACTAACGGAGCCCGGAGGTGTTTGGTCGGTGAGCTGAGCGAGTTACGGCGGCCCCGAGCCGACCTGTCACAAATGGCGATTGATGCCCCATCGAGGACGATGGAGTTGGGCCGGCGGGCATATTGTTCAGCGAAGCGATGGATGTGTGTTGTTCGACGAAGCATCTTCGACGCCACGTGGAGGAATGATGTTGCTGGGTTTCCGATGACTCACATAAACGTGAAAAGTTTCCTCAAAGAAAACAAACGCGTTTCAAGTGGAGGCGGAATTGATTTGAATGTTCAGCTCTGGTTAATTGCCGGGCATCTGCTCAGTCAAACACGTGTCAGCTGTATCCTGTGCTCACCAAGGTCTGCGAGAACAAACGTCCAAGTCGCCGCCGCCGGCCGGGAACTTGGAGAATCCGTTCAGGATGTCATGGCCATTTAATTAGGCGAGCTGGCCGACCCCCAGGCGAAATACATCATCACCCAGGCGTGATCGAGAAGTTGTGACTGTCCGACTGACCCGAAATTTGCTCAACTAGCTTTCGCCATTAGTGATGCCTGTCGGTCTTGGCAAAACTCCGCTTTCCGCGGCGGCTCGGGGTGACGGCGAAGAGTTTCTCGGAATAGACGGCCCACCGCCGAGCTATGCCAGACGCCCCAAAGGTGATGCCCTGTCCATCTCAAACCCAGATTTGTCAGTTATAATCTATTTTTGTACTCAACTTACGTCCGTAATCCAGCCGCTATTTTTAGTTGCATTCTTGATAAGTCGTACAGTGTCTCCTAAATGATTTAATTTTTAATTTTCTGTCGAACGTCTCTAACCCTGTGTCCCTTCTGTGTCCGCCAGGTTACGCTGCTGCGACTCCAGACGTGCGAGCAGTATACCAACTGCACCGAGTGTCTTCAGACCGGAGACCCTTACTGTGGCTGGTGCTCGCTAGAGAAAAGGTGAGCTCCACGGCGCCTTCACACCAGACAAGCTCCGCCGTCCGCTGCTAAAGGCCTGTCACACAATGACGGCATTTGGGCGGAGTCCTGTCGGCAGCTGCTGTCCAGCAGTGCATTTACATACAGTGGCGAAGGGGTGTTCATAATGCATGGATCTTGCATCACCAAAGCAAGATTAATCTCCATCAAGGTGACAGCACATCGCATATTTGTCTTACACTGTTTGCAAATGCGGTACAAAGCTGACAAATGCACCCACACACAAAGGCGTGATTGAGGGGGGTAAAGAGAACCCGTAAAGAGCTCAGTTTCGCACCAGTGTCATGACTGCAGCGACACCATTGCGTGGGGGCACCTGAAATAGTCCTTTTTGCTCACATTACACCATAAACTATACTGGAAAAGAAAGAAAGCAATGGGGGACGTGCGTCATTCTAGACCGCTGCAGACGCCGTGTTCATATGGTGCGCACGGCCCGGGGGATAATCGCCTGAGCCGCGCGGGCCAATGTCGCCCGTTTTTGCCCTCTGTTTACCCGTTCGTGCCGCAATTATCCGTAACTCACTGCGCTGCCGTACAAGAACCGGCGCGGAATCCGATTCCGGCGTGGGCACCCGGTTTTTACGGGCCGCCGGCTCGGCTGTGAATCAGGAGGGTCTGTCTCGGGGGGCGGGTCTCGACACGGGACCGAGGGGAGGGGGCGGGGGCGCGCCTCTGTTTGCCACTGTCCGAGGTCACGTCCGGCGCCGGTCCGCGGACCGGTCCGACGGGCCCCAGACGGACGGCCGTGCCTTATCGGAGATGGCGCCCATCTCGGCTCCTGCGAGCCGCTCCGAGATCCGCCGCCACTGCCATCGGCGAGGTCTCGAGGTTCCTGGATTGCCGCTGCCTTGGGAGGAGCCTTCGAGGAGTGTCTTGGACCGGAGCGGTGAATCGCGTGAATCGGCGACTCGCTCCCGGCTGACGGATCGGCGCGCCACCGTGCGGCTCATTGCGGGCCAAGTCGCCCTCCTTTATCCGACCATTTCCCCTCATAATGGCACGAATAAAGTGTCAGCGTAATGGGATGTGTCATAGGGGCGGCGCTGGAGAATTAATCCGGCCCATGGAAGTCACGTTAGAGGGCCGTTACACCGGTCGTTACGTCGGCGTAGTTCGTCATCTGACACGCTCACGTCACGCCGCGGGCACGTCGAGCACAGCCAGCGGGCGGGACGAGCACGGCCGACCCGGGGCACCCATCAGTCACCGGTCGAGCCCCGAGACTCGGCGCGGCTAGCAACAGCGCACAGTCACGGAAAAACGCCGCCATTGGCAGAATAGATGGCCGTTCGATGTAACAGGGGGTAAGAACAACGCTGGCCATGCTACGTGTGTAACACAAAATTTGGTCATTGGTAGCATAGCACCGTAATGCAAAAGTATGCGTTCATACAATTTCGGAAACGCTAGGCAGAGGAAAGTGATTGTTGTGATGAAATATTGGAGGGGTCAAAAAGTGGAGGCATGATGCCACCTCTTATACCTAAACGGTAGTTACTTTATGGATTCAAGGCGTTGATTCAACAAGTGAAAAGTTGAACATCCTGAATTTAGGCGCACGACACCTACAACCAAACATTTTCAAGGCTTTCACGTCATTTCACAAACTTCCGGCTCGGCGGCGGCTCGTCAGCCGGCAGTGTATGCGTTCAGCGCCTCACAGAGGCTGTCACAGCGCCAACTTCCGGCGCATGTTCGGGGCCCGCTGTTTATCGCACGTTTTTCCTTAGTTTCCGCTCGAACACAACCCGCTTTGTCGTTGAGTCAGCAGAACTAGATCAGCGCCTAGCGTTGGCAGGCTGAACGTTGACCTCGATGCCCAATTTGGCAGTCAGCGTAGCTTCTCAAATCACAGACTAAAAAGCGTATTTGTAGTTTCCAGTCGTAATCGCGGGCCAATCACATAGCGTGCACCTCGCTGGTACACGAACCCAGTCAATTCCCAATGCCGATCCAATAATTCCACGGAGGCGTAGGCGGTCATTAAGTACCGTTCCTCGGCTGCGTCCTGTGTGGATTTCGCACGGTAGGCGGCTGCCAACGACCCCTGGGTGACCCGGGGTCGGGGGCGATCGGAGGCGCGTCCGATCAGCCTTGGCCAGCCGGTGGCTCCCCACCTGCGGCGACCACGGAGGCGGCCCATTACAGAGCGACGCCATCCATCAGAGGAGGCGCGACGGGCACCACCCTTCCCGACGGCGGCGGCCAAATTCCACACACAACACAGGAGCGGCGGCGCACAGACAGTACACAATACACACAACACAGCAGAGCGGCGGCTCCCAGACGGCGGATAACACATACACAACACAGCAGTGTGGTGGCTTTCAGTCCCAGACTACCGTACACACAACACGGTCAGACAGGACAGCTCGGAGACATTTCACACAACACGGAGACAGAGCGGCTACCGGACGCACTATGGTTGGAAACGGCCTCACGGATGGCCGGGGGTCAACGCGAAAAAATGTTTTGCCCATAACTTGTTAATGCGTAGACCGACTGCGATGAAACTTTGCATAGGTATACCAGTGTCTTTCGTGCATCATACAGTAACTCAGAAATGACGAGGTCACGTCACGTCACGCGTGTGTGACGTCATCATTGCAAGTATGTTATAAGTCGCCTATGTCTTTCGTTATGTTATCGATATCGCGAGGCATTTTGAACATGTTTTGAATACTGCTTTTACTGAATGGATATTGTTGTTATGCTTTAGGGCGAGAAATATCAACGTAGTGACGCACAGTGTCTTACTATTGGTCATAAAGGGTCAAAAATTTGGAGAAAGAGTATTTATGATTTTTTTAGATTGGGCAAAAAAGTAAGAAATAAAATGACGATCAAATGACAAAACATGCGTCAGATTAACCCGGTAGTTGCTGGGGTATTTCCCCATCCGCCGTTTGCCGGGGGGGGGGGCGTTCAACGCCCCCAGCCGATAACTCGCGAACAAATAGGCGCAGCGAAACGCACGAGGCGCGGCAAACGAAAGAAGAACGCGACGAGACGATTCACATGAATACTTTAAAGTTGAATTTCGAGGTCACAGGTCGGGTCAAGGTCAGGTCAAACACTTGAAATCGGGCTTTCAGTAGCATGGACTTTAGAACCTCGCAATCGGTGCCTCGCGTTTCGCGTTTCGATTACATCGTCATCAGTTGGTCCTAAATAAATTCAGTCATCAGTTGGTCCTAAACAATCTGTCACAGCTGTCACAACTGTCACAACCCTTCATATAAGTGCTAAAAGAGTTTCAGATCAATGTAGGGGTCAGTCAAACATAGGCCACTGGCCAGGGTCAAAGTCAGGTCAATCAGGTAAGCACATAACCCCGAAAATTAAAACTGGTACCTATTCGCAGCCCATGCATGACACATGTTTTATGGGTACTTTTGGGCGTAGAACACGATGGTGACATTCATTTTATCATACGAGTACGTGGCTGGTTGAAAAAAGATCAATTTCAGAAATGCATGCATCATGGTCGTGAAGTACCTAACCACGAGAAATTGCCAACATTCAGTTCAAGATTTTGGAAAATGTAGAACGATGATCAAAAACCATAGATAGCCATTTGATTTGCCATGGTATTGGCAGTGTAATGGCGTTTACAGCATGTCTGTATGTCTGCTCTGTCGGTGGATATCCATATCCATACTCCAGGATATCCATACACGTTTGCACGATATCCATACTCCAGGTGCAGGGGCGAGCAGTTACTTCTTACGAGGGGTGCGGAGTCGAAGTCAGAGTCGGAGTCAGAGTCGGAGTCGGAGTCAGAGTCGCCCAGAGTCGTGGCAACGAGCCAGGAGTCGGAGTCGGAGTCGGGGTCGGTCAGGAGCCCGCAGTGGAAGTCGGAGTCGGTCCGAATCGGAACAGCTCCATCACGACTCCGAAACACTGGCAGGGGTCCGGAGTCGGAGACAGAGTTGGCTGGAGTCATGGCAACGAGTCAGGAGTCGGAGTCGTAGTCGGAGTCGGATTTGGCGCCACCACGACTCCGCAACCCTGCTTCTTACCATCATTTATAAGGATAAGCGATTGCAAGACTGACGAGCCGACCTGGTGCTAACGAAGCGACGGGTAGGTACGCCTCGGGAGATGAAGCTTCACGGACGATTTTGCGCACAAGTGCGCAGTCTGCTTTTACGTTCCCCTTACGCAGAATTGAACAGAGATTTATTCTGCCAAAAAGCTCAATGGAGGTCGATGGAGAACTTTTTGTATGTCCAATGAAACATAAACGTAATTTTGCAAATATTGCTGTGGTGACACTGCAAACAGAATGCAATGCCGTTCCTGATTTTGAACACGCATGGGAAAAAGAGTCACTCCACTCGATAGCCAACATAACAAGGATTATTTTGATACATAATAATCCAGTTTTACAACGTCATGGAGGTACTCCACATGCTATCACCAGCGCGGTTGTTTAAACCTTTGACGGCGCACCAAAAAAGCCACTATCAGAAACTCCCGATTCCACGTACAATAATGGAGACTAAATGTGCAACTAAATAAATTTTTTTGCCCTATTCAAAACATTTCATCAATTTCCAACAGAATGACACCCCAAATATACATATATTCCGAAATTGCCCACGGCCATCCGTGAGGCCGTTTCCAACCATAGTGGGACGGTGACAACTTTAAGTGACGGAGAGGTCGCTATGCTGCTGGACGACCTTAGGCAGAAATTATTACTCGTATATCTCGGGCCTTGTCCGCCATCCGAAGCGGTCGAGCTTCACATGCTGCTTGAACTGACTCAGAGCTGCACGCAGCTTGTTGCATCACGTTGAATTCCACGGAACTGCTTTGCATCTTCTCACCACCCGCTGAAAACATGACTTTCGATGTCACCTCGCTACACATCCAAAACTAGCCTAAATCTTATGCCCACCAACACACCCCTTGTACTCACTCCTGTCGCTATCCGCACCATCTCTTGTCACCTGGTCGAGGTCAATCTCCGTCGAGTCACCGTTTCCACCCAGCCCGAGGTGTTGTCCCTCCCCTGTCCCCCACCTCCTCCGGCACCGGTCTCTGATGCCTCCTGACGTCCCGGCGCGGCGCCCTGCAGAGACCGTGTCGCGGCCCCACCTAATCAGATCGGTCGCCTCCACGCCGCCGATTCAATTATTTTTCTATTATCTGCTGACGGCGCTGGAGGTGGACTGAGATCGGGCTGCCGAGAAGTCGGAGCGTCACCCCGCTGAGGGAGGGGGCCGAGATGTTAGTCGGACGAGAGTAAATAACGCTCTGTAACTGGCGAGTGCAGCCGATCGCGTGAGGGCACTCCGCTGTCAGATGCGTTTGCGCAGTACGAGAGTGCGTAGGAGCGGAGCGAGCCATCTCTGACGGTTGATGTGTTTGTGTCTGCAGGTGCACGGTGCGTTCCGAGTGCGGAAAGGCGGACTCGAGCTCGCCGCGGTGGCTCTCCATTGACGCCGGCCAGCAGTGTATTGACATGGAGAGGATCGAGCCGCAGCACATCGCCATCGACCAACAGGCGCAGGTCAGTGAAGCAGCTCTGTGAGTTAAGTCTTGAGTAGTTCTTTGTTCCAAGAATTGATCACGCAAGGAGATGTCGCTAAATGTTCTCTCGTTTAACGCATTTGTAGCATCATTATGCAGACATTGTTTCGCTCTTTTAGTCTTGTCCACTTTTACTACTGCGAAGATGGTCTGATCCGCTTAAATGCCGAGAAAACTGACTAAAAGCCGACCGAAGTGGCAGTGGTCGGCAGCACATTTGTCACTTAGCGGCAGCCGTCACTCGCACGTGTTCAGCAAAGCTCTGAACGCTGTCGTGCAGAAGGGATCGAGTCGCTCTCTGCGCAGGCAGCCCTCTATCAGTCATCATACAAATTAGCTGTCGAGGCGTGGCCGGGTCACCGAGCGGCGGTCGGAGAGGGCGGCGGCGCGCGTGTCGTTTGTCAGATGGCCGGCATCAGTCAGCGCACCGCGGCGGCTCTCTCAGTCCCATCTGCACCCCTTCCACCGCCGCGCCGGCTCCGTCTCGGAGCCGCCGACCGAAACGGAAGCCGTCAGCGGCAGATTTAAGCCGGCACGGCTCGTGTCTCCCACGTGGGCGCCTTTACCCCCATTAGCGTGTGCCGACGACCTGTCGACACTGCTGACGCCGCATTGTGGCGCGCGTTGTGCAAGCGGCGGCGACGCGCGGGGCGCCCCTTGCCTAATGCACCCCGATGGACGACAGGGCCGCTGACGGCCCGTGATGCGCGCGGGAGATGTCCACTCGCACCGACACGAAACACTCACTCACTCTCTCACTCACTCACTCGCCCTGTGCCTCACACTGAGTGCATCGCCGAGTGTTGAGGAGCGACATTGAGCTGTTGTCTATTCCTCAGTAGATTTCAGCCGATTGCAGAGTGCACATCAGACTTGGATTTCAACTTCGTGACGCATCTATCAAGCTATGCATGAGTCGTGACATGCTGGAGAGTGGAAGCCGAGCACAAAACCGAGTGCGGTTCGTAGATGGACAGGTTTCGGTGGCATCTTGATGTGCGAGCACTGACCCAACCCACTCCAAAGCCACTCGACTTGTTTTTCGGATAGCTCTGGAGTATTTTCTCGCGTCGAGACGTCAGCCCTGAGAGGTTCGAGGGCCGATAGGTTTGGCGTCCACGCGGCCAAGTGGCATCCTCCGAGATGAGATTCGGAGAGTAGGTTTTCAGCCGCCTTCTTCCGCCGCCTTCGTTCGTTTCCGGGCAGAAAGTGTCGGCGAATTCGGGTCACGACCCCATCCAATCTCGGTCCTGAGGTGCGCCGCTCGGCGGACGCTGCGATCGGCCGCGGGTCACGACAGGTTCGTACCCAGAGCAGCCCGGCCGAACGAGAAAACTTGGGCACATTGGGGCCATACCTCAGTCCAAATATGAGGCGCTGCTCAGCCGCGCCATGTGATGACGTTCGGTTTTTGTTTATCTCCCGTGCACATTCGTGTTCGATCTCCTAAGTTATCGCTGTTGTGTAGATTCCTGTCAATATTGGTGGCAGGTCCCAGACGTATCACCAGCCGGTCCCTTTGACCCGTCCGGCGACACACTGTCTCCAGAGAGTGCGATCAAAGGGGCGTCGATAGACGGATAAATTACACTGCACCCCCACCTCCCGGGGCGAGCTCTGCTGGGACCTGGGAGGTCCCGGTCGGCCTGGACCATCAACCGCCCTCTCACGGCCCACAGCTCAGAGAGCTGTCCCCGTGATCCCGGCGGGACCGGACCCGGCTCCTTTGCCCTCGTGGACCCGCGTTACGGGCCCGGGATGTGCCTGCCCCGCTTTGTACCGTCGGTCGCCGTCGGGCCGGGCTGACGGTCGGACCTCACAGGTGGCGCCACCTGCCGTGCGCCGCGGACATCAGGCGGAGCCGCGCGGCCATTAGTGCGATACTGCCGTGCCCGGCCGCCCAGAAAACACCCCTAACGACCTCTAATGCCGGCCCGGATTGGCCGCCGCTACGGGGATTGCGGCCGATCCTGCCCGAGCGACCAACTTTGGCGACGTCACGCCGCTAAATGGTCAAAACATCCAGCTCGGAATGTGTTATTTGTCACTCCGCGAATCTAATTATGAACCATGTTTTAGGATTTCACACTGATTCCATGAAATTAGTGTTAAAATGTTTCATCCAGTAGGCAGGTAGGTATGAGGTAGGCATTGCCTCTCCACCTCGTAAGGCTATATAGTCTGCAAATCGTTTATCCCCATCGTTCTTTCTCACGCTCCTAAAAGCCCGCTTCCTCTGGCTCTGACCTCAGGAAGGCCTGCTCATTGTCAGCGATTCCGTGAGCGACACACACGGCACAGATAGCAGCTGCGAGCGACGCGCGCCGGCGTCACTCTTTATCGGCGCCGACGCCGATAAATCAACCGCCTCCGATGGTGAAACAGCATCTGCATCCCAATCAAGGCAAACGAGCGTTTAATCCGACATCATCAGAGTCCGATGCTGGGCTCATTCACGCGGCCGGCCCATGCTGTGATGAATGTTGCATCGCATTATGGCTTAATGTGGCTTAACTGGCGGGCTGACGCTCCACTGACCTGACGACACAGTCGCTTTCATGGCGAGACCGTGGCGGCATTACGGACCGGTTAGATTCAGAACTAGAATTTTATGAAACTGGAACCGCACCTCTGAAACTCCAAGCGAGAACTTCCATCTTGGTATGACATGCATTATACACGAATGTGTATCAGCTTTCATGATTCCAAATTAGAGCCAATATTAGCACAGAATTGAACGTCAGCCTTATTATGGTTCAGAGGAATTTCCTTATGCATGCTAATGAATGTGGCCAGGCCCTAAGACGCCTAGCATGGACAGCTGCACGTCGTCATATCTCTCCGTCCGTCCGTCCGTCCGTCCGTCCGTCCGTCCGTCCGTCCGTCCGTCCGTCCGTCCGTCCGCCCGTCCGTCCGTCCGTCTGTCCGTCTCTCCGTCCGTCCGTCCGTCCAATGGGAGACGCTCGGGGAAGGCGTCAGGAGCCGAGGGTGCGGGCGGCAGGGACCACCGCCAGGCGGACCGCCCATTCTCCTGTCTCCACCGGCGCCATAAATCATCCTGTTATCGTACTGCCTGCCAGCCGGCAGTCAACAGGCCGCCAGCAAAAAGCGCCACCATTTGGCGCCCCCGCGGCGCGATCGCCGCACACCGGCACAGCGCCGCTAACGACCGGTGGCGTCCGACCCGCGCCTCACCCCGGGCCGTCGGCACTGGTCCCTCCCCTGGCCGGCCGCCGCCGGGGGCGGTCAGGGTCGGTATACCGCCCGCAGCCGGGCGACCCCCGCTGCCGCTGCTATGTGTGAGGTATGATTACTGATGACGCGACAGAAACGTTAACGTTCCGATGATGGAACTGTGCATCCCCCTATGGAACTGCATCCAGGCGCGGATACAAGGGGGGCCATGGGGGCCATGCCCCCCCCCTTGGCCGATTTTTTTTCAAAAATAAAATAAAAAGTTAAAAAGTTAAAAAGCTGAAAAGGGGGCCTCCTGAAAATAAAGTGGCCGAAATCCGATGAGTTTTTTTTTAACCTACCCACTTAGTTATTTCTTAGAAGACTAGCTGAGAAGACTTCTTTGTTAGAAGATTGGTAAAGCTTTTCATAACTTGGAGGTCTCTTATACTCACAGAGATGACCACTTTTACAGGGCCTCCTAACCTGCACAGAGGGCCTCCAAGCCTGCACAGATGTTGAGATGTTGCCTGAACAGCTAGATAAGCTCAATAGACGCAGTTTTTTTTTGGGGGGGGGGCCCAACAAGTGGGAAGATGGGGCCTCCAACAGGTGGGATTATGGGGGGGGCCTCCTGGTTTCTAATGGCCCCTCCCTTGGAGATTTTCTGGATCCGCCCCTGACTGCATCCCAGACATAGAGCAGGTAATTAATTAAGTGCTTCGATTATAATCTTCCATCTGGTCCATGTGTTGAGTACTGAAATCCAAACTAATCCATTAGTTCAACCATGACTTTGTTTTAGACGTTTTTGCCGCTGTCTCCCTTCATTAGAGCGAGTTATTTACCTATGTCTCGGTATTGGCGTTGCAGTCGCCAGTTTCCACAGTTGGGTAGACTGTGCCGCATTACACCCATGTATGGCGGTGCAGCATACCTTGCCGTCTATCGGTGGACACTTGACGCGGGACAACTGGCTAATTTATGAGGCAGCCTTTACGCCTTCGACCGTAAAAACGGCGCACGGAGAAAAAAGGACCGCTTCTTCGTGTTTCGGAATTGCATTTTCAGTTTAGAAGATTGCAACTCACCTACAATGGAGTGACTTTGTACTTTGACGTGCGAAGTGAAGGACATGTTGTTCCTAAATGGTATTGAGCAACTACATGCAACTTCACTTTGTCACAACCGCTCTATTCAAGCACAATAACTGATTGAATACAGACCATTTTAGTCAGTTTTATGTAAGATCATAGGCGGTCGTTCCGCTTTAAGGAGTAAAACAAACCTGCCCAGTGCCCAAGTTCCGACCCGGTACCTAGTCCTTTTTGCTAGTATAATATGCATCAGCACTGACAGTGTCCTAACTGTTAAACGACCTCTCACTTACCTACCGATTTTTTTTACGAATAGTGCACATGTCTCATTAGATAATGTAAGGAAGAACCCTGTTCTGAGTGCCACAAGTGGCATTTGCAAAGTCATTTATGTGCGCGCTTCCTAGGTGTCCACCGGGCAGACAAGTAATTCCACGGCGAGGTCAGTCCGCTCTGTACAGAATCGTGTTTTCGATTGCCGCGCCGAAGATTTATCGTCGAAGAGTTAATTTGAAATCACCGGTAATACGCGGATACGGCTGTATTTATGGTCGCCGGTGGCTGCGCCAGTGATATAGAGTGGGCGCGCGTGCCGTTTTCGCTCTGACTTATTCTCTCCACCAGGCGGCTACCTATAAATACTCCTCCACTCAACTATCAGCGATATTGCCTGTCGGCTATGATGAATGATCTCGGGGTATTAGCTCATGTGATTGCTTTGTATTCATAGGAATGTTATTCGTCCTGCGGCGCCGAGAGGTGCGACCGACGCGCACAGGTCAGGAGACCGACAGGGCGGGGTCGCACGGCGGCCTGTGGTCGGCAGACACACCCTCCCTCCCCTCCACCGGGCCAGGCCGCTCCAGACGGCTGGTTACCGACGGCCGACCAGCCTGTCTGTCTCCACTGAATGTCAAACGGGATGGGGCTCGCCGCAGGGAGTCGAAATTAGGGGGATCCCTGAATGCCTCAGCTCAACTGGAAGGACATCGATGAAAAAGTCCGCGCTACTCAATGGGGTTCCGTCTCAATGGAGCCCCACTTCTGTATGCGACCATGCGCCTAGCCCTCTATTATATGCCGGTGGCCCAAGAGTAGGGACGGGGCATCCGCCCGGCTTCATAAAATAGCGCTGAGGTAATCGCTTTCAAGCGATGTGCTTCTCCGAAAGCGTGGTACTCGAGACATCGCGTCACAAAACACCAAGCTATCTTTTCTTCTTCGTTTAGGAAACTTGATATGTTTAATTTTCAGCCGTGAGCTGGTTTCAAAATAATGCAGTAAAAATTTTGCCGATAGCCTCCGCCTGGACATAGACCGTCAGCGATCTAACGTTTTCCAAGAAAACATTACCACATTCTGCCCATAGACTCCATAGGAAACGTCATGAAAGGACCGAATGCTAATGTATGTTGAGAGAAAACATTGCCGATGATTTGCGAATGAATGGATTTTTGAGGCAGTAAGTATGGTGAGAAAGTGCCTGCTGTGTGCTCGTTCGTCTGCCGTTCTCTCCGCCTCGAGAGTGGGTGGAGGTGAAGACGGGTCCCACGGGGCCGTCAGACAAAGATCCCTTCACAAACGGGCCCGCTGCTCTGACGTACTCACGATCTGGCTTTTGCGAGTGGCTCGGCAGTCACTGGCAGTCAGGCAGACGGCTTTCACGACAGACTAATGGAAAAGTCAGGTTCGACGGACAGCACTGACCTCCCTGGACAGTAATTTTGACCTTACCGCTCACCAGAGGCACGGCTCAAAACGGGTATGGTGTCAGTGGCTCTTAGGTAGAGCATTACACAGAAACTCGAGAAGTTCAGTATTTCTTTCTGAGTTCTTCCTCTCTCTTCCGTTCTCTTCTCCGCATCTCTCTCCCTCTCTCTCTCTCTCTCTCCCTCTTCTCTCCCTCTCTCTCTCTCTCTCTCTCTCTCTCTCTCTCTCTCTCTCTCTCTCTCTCTCTCTCTCTCTCTCTCTCCCAAACATTTTCTCCGGCCACCCACATCCCATTACCTCGGCGAGGTGGCGGACCAACGCGTCACTACATACAAAGACGAGTCCGCGTCGGCCGCGCGTACAGATGACAATGAGCGGACAGCCTGGCCGCACCTGGCTCCGTACACGATCTATCCGTCCGAGAGGTGTCAACCCCACTGTTCCGGGGGCCATTTCATCCCACGCTGACCGGTCAGCGCCACCTCCCCCTCACGGGGAGGTGGGACGGCAGATGGTCCCTGGAGACCACAGCTCGTGGTCTAATGTGCCGCGTGTGTGCACTGGTTGGAATGTTGGTTCTGCCATTTGGGTCGCGGCTGGTATCACCTGCGGTTCATGGCTCGAGTGTTTCCGTGTTTGCGCCGCTAGTTTGGCCGTCAGTACGACTGCGCACAGTAAGAGCGGCGAGGAATGCGTCCCAGAGAAATGGGGATGTTTGGTCAGCTGCTGGGCTCGCGTTGTCCCATCCCCATGATGCCCCGCGTAATACAAGGTTCATTTCCCTTGTACAATGAAACGTTTTGAGTCAATCAATAACATTCCAGGCATTAATAATCTCGAATAAGCTTCGTTCTGAAAGTGTTTACCTACGTCCACTTCTGAAGCAGTGTGACCTGAACAATATGTCACTTGAGGCATATTATTGCATCCATAAATGAACCCATGACAAGGGCGGAACTCGGTTATTGCGCGATGCATTGTGCACACGTCACTTCGGCTTCATTCTGCCTCACTTCCCCGACCTGCCAAAGTGGAGTGGCTGGTTCTCCAACTGCATGCTGGCAGCCCTCGCGGCACTCCACGCCTCTGTTCTCCCCGGTCCCGGTTAACCGGCCCTCTTGAGAGCTGCCCTGAAAGCCGGGCGCCGAATCGGTCGCATTCACGCTGCAGTCGGGATCGAACGTCGAGAACAAACGGAACACGGCGCGGGGTACTACAGACCCGGTCTGCGGCAGCTCGGCACAGGCTCCCGACTCCAGCTCGGCGCAGGACCCCGGCCAACCCCTCGGCCGCAGCTGAAATGAGACTCACGTGCAGAGCCGGCTCGCTAGTCGCTCCATGTGTTCAGACACGAGTCCATGGTCATGCTCGGTGGGCGATGGCGTCAGAGGGAGGTCGCCGACGGCACCAGTCCATGAAGAACTGTGTCACTGCGTATACGCGATATGAGTAAACACCATCCACAGATCACTCATCCCTGAATCACTTGGGCCGGAATGCACCCGGTAATTTATTAGGTCTACTCGCACTAATTGTGGAATTAAGGACCGCCCTCATAGCCTCAGGAAGTAATAATTTACGAAAATGACTGCTCATGAAAGCCGTGGCCTTCGTACGGGAAATTGATTCGACACATTGGCCAATTATTGGCCGCAGGCGGCGGGGAGGAATGCGCGTCAGGGCAGCTGTGACACTGACCACAAGTAACGAACGGACAAATAGCCGGCCACGTTTTATGGTGCTCCATTTCAATTTCCCTTTCCGTTCCCAAGCCAACCTACAAACAGGATATACTTACGTACCAATTCATTACCGCATACCTACCTCTGGGTGCCTCATTTTCTAGTGATAGATGCTTGGTTTCAATTTGCGTCTCAAGGATATGTTTTGTTTGAAGTTGGCTTTCGTCCATAGCCACCAACATGCGTGATGCCATTCCCTTGACATTCAATCAAACAAACAGGAATATTCCAACATTGGGTCTCTGACATGAGAAGTACTCAACTCCACATCTACGTTAAAGGAAGACTGCCACCTTCAAAAAGTTTTCTCAGATCGGCCTATGATTTATTCCCTGGACAAAACAAAATTTTAGAATTCACCTGACAAAGTATCATCACGTGAATCGCGAAAAAAATGTCGATTATCATACAATTATCAATCGGTTAATGTCTAACGACAATGTTTACACATCACTAGACTTCAAGGTCATAAGATTATTACATTTTATTTGAAAAAGTAAGGTATTTTATGATTTACTAATATATGATTTCATAAGAAATTGGCCATGTTTAATTTATTTTGCATTTAAGTTCGTAAAACATTTTTAAAAATCATGGCTCATTTGGAATGGGTCTGGCCCATGTTAAACCCCATTTCCCACACTTTTTTGGAAAAAATGAACTACTGAATATATAAGTTTAACTTTTATTTTGACACTCCAAAATTCTTCTCTGATCTCGAAACAATCAAAGTTTTGACATATATTTACCAAAAGATAAGAAAATTTGTGTTTCAAAGTTATCGATAAACAGTAGAGATGTCGGTTTTCTTGGACTAAAAAAATGGCATCAAACTGAACTTTGGTCTCCGATTTCTCGCAAACGGGTTCGAATTTCGGAAAACCGAAAACCTACTTCAGTCTGGGACATAGGTGGCTCAGCTCTAGTGAAAACCGTTTTGTGGAAAAAAGGTGGCAGTCTACCTTTAAGTGTTATCTACGTTAATCCACATTAAGTGACAAACTGAGAGTTCACAATGTGTGGGTCGATTTAGCTCCTTTGGTCTCTTTTCTACACCGTGCCACCTCCTCTGAACGACAGTACTGGTCGGAGTCTCACCGTTCGCCTAGCCGAAACACGAGCTCGCGCCAGTCGGGGCCGACAGGTGGTGGCCGGGCGTGACGGTCCGTCACGTCAGTCACGGCGTCACGGCCGTCGTGACGCCACTAGGCGTCTCACACTACCTGTCTCTCCTCGGTCGTCACTTTGTCAGACATCTGTCAACGCACAGAACGAACAAAGACCGCGCCGAGTCTGACTGGGCAGCAATTACTAGCGAGGTGGTTCTGTAGGGATGCGCAATGCGCAATGACATCTGTGGAACAATGACGATTCCCGAGCATGAAACCCGCAGATTCCTATTCTCCATGCCAGAATAAAAGACAAGCTATATGTGTATGAAACTCGACAGTTTGAAGTAAAGCTCGCATGAGGAAACCGAAATGAGTTAGGTACTCCGATCGTATAAAGGTAGCTACTCCTAGAATTTAACCAGTATTTTTTCTTTTGTCTCTTACAGATCTACTTGGGAATCCGCGCGCTGCCGCCGCTGCGGTCGGGCGCCAAGTACCAGTGCGTGTTCGGCTCAGCGCCGCCCGTCGACGCCACGGCCACCGTGCGCGGCCTGCGCTGTCCGGCGCCGCCGCTCAGCCTCCGACCCCTGCTGGCGCCCTCGGCCGATCACGTGACCGTGCCGCTCTCCGTGCGCTCCTCCGAGACCAAGAAGGACTTTGTGACGCGCCAGTTCGTCTACTTTGACTGCGGCCGGCACACAACCTGCGGTTCGTGTGTGACGTCACAGTGGCAGTGCAGCTGGTGCGTGTACGACAACAAGTGTGTCAACGACAACAGCACGTGCCACAGGCATGTGGTCTCAGCGCGGCATAAGAGCGAGGTAAGCAATAATGAAGGATAAGTGCCAGGTAAATGCATGGAATTAGATGCCTGGACCAATGCCAAAAGCAACTCATTGTGCCCAAATTACAACCAGCCTTTGATGGGGCATTTTACGTTTGTACGTTTATGCCCATATTTGGCACACAGCACGTGATTCTCCAAACAAGAGTCTGTGCCCAGAAAATCAACGCCCTATTACCGTCCTGAAAACAACATAACAAAAGTTTTCAGAGAGCGTGCAGTTGCTTTGCTGAGCGGAAAATTGGTTACCCACAATAATCAATAAAGTCGGAAAGTGTACCAGGATGCAGCTCGGGTTCAGTAAGCCTGGATGAGGGAAAGTCTGGCGCGACGGGCCCGCTCGGTGGGTTTACGGCCGCGTCCTGGCCCCGGCCCAGGTCGGCGGAGGGCGCACCTGGCCGAGCGCTCCCCCACGGCCATAGATTGGCTCCGGCCGCTCATAAGGCAGGTTGCGATATTAATTGGATAGAGCGCCGTATTGGGGCGACCTCAGCGCCCGGATCGTTATAAAAACGGCTGGACATGGTGACTAGGGTTGATAATCCCGGGACTTTTTGGCAATCCCGGGATCCCGGGATTTTAGAAATGCAATCCCGGGATATCCCGGGATCCCGGGATTGAGCAGTTTTTATTTTAACCTGTCTACAAAGCAGAATTTTCTTGCAATATCGTATGTATATGGCGCATCCTTACCATCATAAACACAATACCAGGCATACACCTTCACCCCGAACAAATATAAGAGCATGAATGACATTGATCATTGTATTTCTTGTTTATATTTCGAGTCAGGATACAATAGACGTGCCTACGGATTGTGGTCGTCTGACCAGCAGCATGTCCTGGTCACATTCACTTGTTACGGTAGTAGCACTTGAGGAAGCAAAGTGCATCAACGACTTCGTCGCCGAGACTCGACCGCACTTTTGTGACGATATTCCCGACAGTGGAAAACACTCGTTCCGATTCAACACTCGTAGGAACTATGCCCTTCAGCCAGTTGTAGGACAGCGCTACCATGCCTGTCCTTCCTGAGATAGGTAAATTTTCCAATTCTTTCCTTATGGCCTTCGTCATCATCAGAGAAGATTGCGAAAAGTTAATCCCAGACGGGCATGAACTGATGCCTTGCTCTGGAGCTCTAACCTCATCTAGAGCTTGTTGAAGCATCGACTGAAGAGACGGCGCTGATTCAGGATCATCAGCGTCCATCACTTCTGTATCTACAGTAGGCACGTAAGTAATAATTATTCACTAACGGTAACCATGCCCAGGGCGCCCGGCCAGCCTCATGGATCGTCCAGCCACGGGGCACTGACAGTAACTGAGCCACCAGACGTGCTCCCACAGTCACACAGAGAAGACGGCCGACCTCCTCCCACTCGATGGACTCGAATTCGATAGTCGGCATAGTATGTCATCGTGCAAAATGATCTGTTAAACCGAGTACGCGAGGGACGTCGCGGGGAGCGAGAGATGAGCCGAGAGAGAGAGCTCATCTCTCGCCACATTGTGAAGGCTGAGACGGTGTGAAACAATGTCAATTAGGTATATATGTAACCAATACTTGTGCATAACGACTTTGCACGGCGTAAGTAAGATCTTTGGACATAAAACTGCACTGTAATGCGTTGTTACTCACTTACCTTTTTTTACATACCTTCTATCAGCTACACTTTATGAACGATGTTTCTGTACGGAAAATATCGGGATCCCGAAATCCCGATGCTTCTAATCCCGGGATTCGGGATTAATACAATCCCGGGATCCCGGGATCCCGATCCCGGGATTATCAGCCCTAAATTGGTGACCGACGACGCAGAACGGACCGTTCGAGATGCATCCAGTCGCTAAATCAGCTATATGTAATTATAAAAACCTTATGAAACGGTGACAGATTCCCATAGTTAATGTTCACAGCGATAATGACTTGTGAAATCCCGACGTTCAATTTATTTTGTTCGGGCCCATCTCATATGACGGCGAAGTAAATTCGTTATCTAAAACATAACTGTCGAGGTAGCGATTCGTCAAATTAGTAAACCGATTATCTCCTCCTCTCAGCGATGGAGCCGATCTCGTCGCTCCCGGCGAGGAGCACCCACAGCCACACCTGGCCACACTGACCGAACTTGGGGCCTCCTGCTCCTGCCCATTATCAGCGGCCTCAGTATGAGAGGTATCGCCACTGGCGGCGGCACTTGCCTCGAGACGCTCATTAATTTCACACCCGGCTCCGCTAATGCCGCCCACCCCCCGCCATCTCGAACGTCGCGGAATGCGCGCGCTGCCGCCCTCAGGGTGTCCCCCAGCCGGAGACTGGGAGGGAGTGATGTTGGACAGGACTCCCAGCTACTAACTGACCCAGAGCGGCGGGTGGCACGGCGGACCCCGGAGCGCCGCGGCCGATTCTGCCCGTATAAATCAGAGCGCCGGGTCGGGTCGGGCCCGGCCGGGGGTCGGGCCCACCTCGCCGTTCCCCGCGGAGGGGAGCCGTCATTAGCGGGCCGTCGCCGGGCTCAATATGCCGCCCGCCGGGCGACGGCCGCCGCCCAGTGCCGTCGGCCGCTAATTGATTCCATGGCGCCGATCTGCGGCTCGCTGGGCGGCGCCGGCGCGGCAGTTGAATGGTCCAGTGAGCGGCTCAGTGCGAGCGGCGGGACGCGCGTCCGATCCAGTTGAATGTGATCGATCGTTTGGTGCGACCCATTGTTCTGAATACAATGATTTTGATGGATGTATTTGAATTGGAATGTCACCACCGGCTGTCATTATTTTATCACATCTCGTCAATACCACTCTAAATCAGTCGGCTTCCCTACGAGTTTTGAATGCCTGGTTTGGTCTCCCTTGATTATCATCTGATTGCATCCATGAATTATTTCAGATGCTATCTCCGTCCGAGCTGGGCTGCCCGGCGGTGGTGCCGCCCCGGCAGCCGATCCTGGTCGCTGACGAGGTCGCCCACAGCCTCGTGCTGGAGGTGACCAACCTGCCGTCGCCGCTGGCCGGACAGTCCAGCTACACGTGCGTCATCGTCATCGAGGGGCGGACCGTGCTGGTGCCCGGCAGACTCGACGCCGGGCAGTTCATCGTCTGCGAGAAGCGAACGGTGAGCACAGAGAACGGCCAGCTGTTGCTGACGCGCAGCCATATTTCGCGTTCCATCTACCGCTCAGAGCGCGTAGCGACTAAGATGACGTCAGCCTTCACCGATGACACATTGCACGCCAGACTTGAGGAGTTTCTGTCAAACTGTGAAAGGGCTTCCTTGTGGCAGCGCGACTCTGGTTTATGGCTGCTGCATCAATGCGTGCAGTCGTCCCAGTTCAAAATACCCGCCGTCCCACGGGTGGTCCGACTGTGCGGCGTGCTTTGTTCGACGAACAGAGTAGCCTGCGGCCATCCTGCGCTCCCCAGAAAACACTCATTTTATATCCAGTTTAATTGTCGAGGCAGCCATATCTGTCGTTCGGTGTCCCCACCACCGGAGTCCCTGGAAGAGGGTCGATGGCGAGGCTTCTGATGTCGCCACGCACAGGTTCTGTGGATTCCTTTTACGGTCAATAAACCGAATTTCCCTGCAATTAACGATAGTCGTAGTAAAACCACAGCCGGATGCGGTTACTTGCCATGAACCTCAGCGAAATGGGTTTCTTTTCGAGACGTTGCAGTAACTGTTTTTATTCGCTTTCTTGCCGTTCTTGAATTACCTTTTCATCGCTTTTTCGCAGTACTTTTACCGAAGTAACGCCTCAGAGCTGACCGCAACGGCGACAGTGAAGTGGAACTACAACAATAACATCGGCTCCGTCAACTTCACGCTGTACAAGTGCGCTCTGCTGGCCACCCACCAGGGGTCGGAGGACTGCTCCCTGTGCCTCACCAGAGACCCCAGATACAGGTAAGAACAGAACTACTATCCGGCCGGAAGACTCATGAATCTGCGCTTACCATTTCGTCCGCAGCGGTTGCTGATTGTTCTTCGCCATAAGCAAGCATGTTGTGGAGGTCTGTCTCCACAACATGAATAAACGTCTGTCTGTCTGTCTGTCTGTCTGGAGGTGGAAATTGACCACTTTTGTCAGTGTTGCCATGTTTGGTTGACATTTTTCCAATTAAAATTTCTGAGGAATTGTGTCTAGATCCTAACCATGCTGCCGTTCGTTTGTGCAGGTGCCAGTGGTGCGGCGGCCAGTGCCGATTCAGCGAGCAGTGCCGACAGAACCCGGTCAGAGAATGCCCTCGGCCGCAGGTAGATCGGGTAAGCGACGACCACATTATACGAGGGTGATGCTGTTCACGTACAGGAGCTATATCGATGATATAGGTCTGCGCAGATAACTGGATCTGTAGTAAATGCATAAATTAAATTGTCTGACCACCTCAGCATTTATTGAGCATTGAATAATGCATTTCATCCCTCTTCAGATCCACCCTCGTTCGGGTCCTCTGGAGGGCGGCACCCTGCTCACCATCGAGGGCAGAAACCTGGGACTGCACCGAAACGAGGTGACCGGACGCATCTTCGTCGGCCGGGTGCCCTGTGACCTTGTCGACTACGAGGTCTCGGTCAAGGTCATGTGCCGCACCGGCGCCGTCACCCAGCCCGCGGAGGAAACGGTCAAACTGGGAAACAGCGCCGGCTTCACTGTTTCAGATATTACCTTCCAGTACAAGGTACGTTTCGATTTCCATGCAAGGTAAAGTCTGCTATTGATTTAAGTACCTACGTCAACACTCCGCTCCAACCATATGCGTAACGCCACACAGGCACTAAGGAAATTTCGACCATGTGGTCTGTCTGCAATGCACGTCCTCCGCCGGCAGTCCGTCACTGACCGTCACCCTGTGCCACCGCCAGCGGGTGGAGCTGCTGGACTTCCAGCCGCGGCTGGGACCTCAGAGCGGCGGCACCCTGGTGACTCTCACCGGATCTAACCTGCACGTGGGCTCGAACGTCACCGTGACGCTCGGCGGCCGGCCGTGCCCCGTCACGGAGCGGCTGGACGGCGTGACGTGCGTAACGGCGCCGTCGGTCGAGCCGCGTGACGTGACGGACCTGCGCGTCACGGTGGACGGCGCCAACAGGTCGCTGGCCGTGCCCTTCACCTACACACCTGGTGAGTGGTCCTTCCTTCTCTCTGTAGGTATAGCACAGCCTTTGGTTGAGCTTAGAGAGGTGTTCATCAGGGCTGGTTATTCTAATTTTACTCACCGACTTTCGTTTACTACACTGCGTCGTGGCGTTGGGAAAAGGTCACATATGGCTTCTATCTTTCACTATAAAGTATCAGCTGGCTATTAGATAGGCGATAACATTTACACGTACCTATCTTGCACTCGACAGACCCGGTGGTGCTGGACATCCGTCCGCTGAAGAGCTACGTCTCCGGCGGCCGGCCGCTGACCGTCCACGGCCGTCAGTTTGACTCGATACAGCAGCCCAAGATCATCGTGTTCAACGAGACCGCCCTCCGACCCATCAACACCACGGTAAGGGACCGAGGACTATTGGACACTGCCGTTATTTGTTAGAGGAACGATAAGCTCAATTCGGGAATAAGGTGATTGCTTCTCTACTACTACGATGCAGAGTGTAAATCACTATTGCTGTCAAGTCTCTCTTGGAAAACACTTAACAAAACCAAGTCATCCTGACAAAACGTCCAACGCGTTGATCCGTCACCTGTTTCAGATACATGTGGTACTAACCTCTGATCCATGTTTCAGGTCTGCACGGTGCTGACCCCCGAGCTGATGGAGTGCCCGTCCCCGGCCGTGCCCCGGCTCTCGGCTCCGGCCGTTCCGGAGCCGGAGCTGCTCCGTCTGGGCGAGTCTCGCGCGGCGCGCATGTACCGCTCCCCGGACACCCAGCTGCCGACGCCGCCCCAGCAGGAGCTGCAGGTGGGTACCGCTACCCCTCCCCCAACCACCCACCTGCCCATGTACCGCTCCCCGGACACCCAGCTGCCGGCGCCGCCCCAGCAGGAGCTGCAGGTGGGTACCGCTACCCCTCCCCCAACCACCCAGCTGCCCATGTACCGCTCCCCGGACACCCAGCTGCCGGCGCCGCCCCAGCAGGAGCTGTAGGTGGGTACTCCGCCCCCTCCCCCTTTCAACACCCAGTTCCCCGCGCCGCCCCAGCAGGAGCTGCAGGTGGGTAAATGATACTCCAGCGAGGAGTCAGCGGCGTCTTGTGCTTTCATTGGCCATTGAAGTTGTTCGGGGCTGGCAAGTACCACCACACATGAAGTATGGGTAGATATGTAACTGTTCTACTCCCTTCTTTTAGATCGGCTTTCTGATGGACAACGTGAAGGGAGTGCTGAACCTGAAGCAGTTCTCGCCGGAGCTGGAGTCCACCATCACTTATGTGGAGGATCCCGTCTACTTTCCGTTCGCCAAGGACGTGAAGGCCTTCAGCGGCGACACACTCGTCATTGAGGTACGTGCTCACAAAACTAAGTGGTCGAAGCCAACACAGAGACGTAGAACTTCGTAAAACATGCTATGCGCAGAATATGTCGTCATGCTGCCAAGTTTCATATGCTCTCCTAAGATAAACGTGCGAGAATAATTGTCAATTCAAATAATTGGCATTCAAAAGCAGAAATCCCGCAACTGATTCTGAAAATCGCTTTCCATCATGGTTCAAGATAGTGATGCACGTATTCCTCATTCATTTATGAATTACTCATGATAATCACTTGTTTTCGTTCTCAGTTCGCCCGTGTGCGCATTGGAAAATCCGCGAGATAGATTCGGCATTCGTTTGCTAATGAGATACCCTGATTTGCATCACATACCTCGCCGAGCTATTGACCAGGCGCAGTACGATTCACATAATAGACCAGTGGTCGGCAGGTCATTCGGGGTCGTGCCCCCTTTTCGGGCGCCAGGCAGGGCCATTACCCCCACCTACCAGACCCCATTGCTGACACAACTAAGTTTACTGAAATTCCATACCGTCCTGGAACTCTTTGGGTATTTGTGCATTTCCAATGCATCAAATTTAAAACATGACACTTCCTCCACAAAACATTTAATGCCTATATCCCAGTAGCGGCGGAACACCTTCAATTAAGGGGGAGGGGGGAGCACTGCCGACTTTTGGTCCCATTCTTTCCATGCAAAAAATCAAAGGGTGCGCGGTGCCCCGGTGCCCTCCCCGTTCCGCCGCCTATGCTATATCCCATTTAACCCTTGTACGTATAGGGGCGGCGGGTGGTTTTTCGTTAAAAGCTCACGTAATAGGCATTGGATCACAACCAAATTGTACCCTCGAGCCCATCATTTTTTTTTTTCACCAGCCCGGAAAATATCATGACCTGAGACCAGTTTTACCAACAGAAAAATAACCGCCTGCCGGAATTTTTGCCTCAAGACCGCTTCACATACGGAGCGTAAACGCGATGGGCTCGTAAGCGGATAGGGCTTTACCGTTTACGCTCCATATGTGAAAAGATCTTTAGGCAAAAAATCCGGCAGGCGGCTATTTTTCTGTTGGTAAAACTGGCCTGTGGACCCATAATGACCGTTGGCTTATGAGCTTTTTCTGGAGACTTGAGCCATAAAATCTCACTTCAAGAAGTTATAGCGGGTCCAGATTTTCTCGACACTTATCATTTCCCTCTTGAATGAGACGGAATGACCAAGGACCTTAAAAATGGGCAGCAGCGGCTTCCTATGGTCACGGGTAGCACGCTCGTCTTTTTTATGCACAGCTCCATATCAGAGTCCGAGAGGCCGCGGGGGTCCGATCGACTCCTCCCCCTTACGTTAGCGGCTGTTGAAACGCCAATAGACGGGCGACGGTTAAAAGTTGCAGCTGCTTTTGAACGACTGTACGGAGGGGTGGGATGGTGAGGCGAGCAGGCACGTGAAAATTGGTATCTAATTAATGTGTGCTGTGCCTTTGGCCTGGGCTAATCTTTGAACCCTGGGATGCAACAGTCACGATGGCTCCATCACTGGAGCTACAAACTCTAAAAAGATAGGCTTTCTCAGAATCCCTCATTACCCCCACCTAAAGGGCTCCATTACCCCCAAAGGGGGCATGCCCCACCATTTGCCGACCCCTGTAATAGACGGACCGTCGCGCGTTGTTAGGTTGAAGAGCCATCCATCCGACTAACAAATGTTCCTGTTCTGTCAGGGTGTGAACCTGAACGGCGCCAGTGACGAGCGTGACACGGCCGTGACGGTGGGCGGCGTGCCGTGTAACGTCACCACGCTGACGGCCACACAGCTGGTGTGTGTGCCGCCGCGCCGACAGTCGGACGGCATGCTGCTCTCGGAGCAGACCGGCCTGCCGCTGGTGCAGGTCACCGTCGGAAACCTCCGCTTCCCGCTCGGACACCTGCAGTACGACGGCGCCGGACCGTTCAAGGTGAGTTCGAACAATATGGAAATTATCGACCCAAAAACTGCGCGGTGCGCTCAAACAAATATAATTCAGCAATGCTTGAACGATTGAAACTAATGAACGATACAATTTGTTTTTCTCAACGACAATGACAATCCAAAAAACAATGTAGTCATTGTCGTTGAGAAAAATGTCTGACTCTTCTGAACGATACAATCGTTAATGGAAAAAGGGAAAAACAGCTCGGCAACGATAAATAAAAACTAAGTGTTTGTCGGTATTCCCAGGCCCCGTACCATTTAGGAAAAAATGGCCCACTGACCCTCAACGACAGCCGACGATTCAAAATCGCTCGTACTGAGCTGCTCGGAGCGCAGTGTCTAGTTATAATCGGGAGGGGGTAGCTGTACTCAGACACCGTTCAACTCTCTCTAGCCTTCCACTATTGGAGACAACTCTCCATATCAGCTGTCGCCAGGGACCGGAGTCGCCGACAGCCTTGATTTACTCCAGTCTCGACACCGTAAGGAGAGTCACGACGACTTCGCTGAGCTCAGAAAAGACCCTCGTCAATAATGTACATATAAAGAATGGCCCTGAAAAGTTTCGACACCAGAGAAATCCACGCTGGCCTACCGACGGAAGATGAAACTGCTCATTCATATTTTAATTTGCGACAAACTTTGATAACCCATGCATTCGAAATGAATGTAACATTGTAACCTTACATTCGTCGGGGACGAAATGAAACGGTTGTTGCCGAGGAATCGTCAGGGCAGATTAGTACGGGCGTACAAGCAAAAGACAGAGGGAGTACTGCTTCCATTTCTTTTCTTTTTTTACTTTGGTAAAAATGTGAAAATGAGAAGCATTTGATTAAAGTACGAACTTAAAAGTAACAGCTCGAATAAAATAGAAGATCCAAGAAGCAGTTCCAGATGAAAGCACTAAGTATGCGCACACTAATTAGTTTTCATAATTGTTATTTTATATTTCAGCTGAGCGGCGAGGTGATAGCGGGGATCGCGGCCGGCGCCGTGGTGCTCGTGCTGGCCTCCCTGCTCATCCTGCTCGTCTACCGGCGCAAGTCCACACAGGTCGAGCGAGAGTACAAGCGCATCCAGATCCAGATGGACACGCTCGAGAACAACATCCGCTCCGAGTGCAAGCAGGCGTTCGCGGCCATGTGCACGTGGGACTCGCGGCGCGGCCGGGACACACTGGCGGCGGCCAGTCCCGACCTGCCGGCCCAGCTGAGCAGCCTGGCCGCCACCTTCAACCCCGACGAGGTCGACTGTCTCGAGCAGCGAGAGTTCCTTGTCAAGGTCAGTGGGCTGTTCGGGAAAATATAGTGCTGCGTCTGCAGTAATATTTCCCCGGCATTATGTGGCGTTTAAAAATCATCAAACACGATGGCTTTGAGACGACCATCATTCATTATCCGGCGAAGCGTCATTTGTTCCTGTCATATCCAGCCACCATTGTATTCAAATTTCAACGATAGAATACCAGACACGGAGGAAGGTTTCTCCCAGATGACACGCAGCTCCGCTGCTATGATTTTATTGTCGCTCAGTCAACGGTCCAACGGAGGCTGGCGCTGGTTGACTAACGGGACATGATTTATGGATTTATGCTCTCATCTCAGGTGCTGTTCCCTGGGATCGCGGAGCACCCGATCCTGAGCCGGCAGCGTCCGTCGTCTCCGACCAGCCCTCGCACCTCGCTGGACGTGGCCATGCTGCAGCTGGAGCAGCTCGTCAGGAACCAGCACTTCCTCGTCACCGTCATCGACACCATGGAGCGGCAAAAGGACTTCTCCATCCGTGACAGGTAGGTGCTGCAACGGCTGCTGCTGCTCGAGGTGCTTGGATGTCTTTTAATTTCGATGCCCGATGATTACTGCATACCATGAACAGAAGGAACAAAAAGGCATGCATCTCTTCTTTCTTTTTATCTCCACCTGACTTGCACCAAAGTAATAATCTTCTGTGTCCCCTGCAGGGTGACGGTGGCGTCGCTGCTGACGGTGATCCTGATGACCAACATGGAGTACCTGACCACCGTGCTCCACCAGCTACTGGTCCGACACATCTCCCGCATAGCCAGGTCCAGGCACCCGCACCTGATGCTCAGAAGAACAGAAACCGTCATGGAGAAGCTGCTCACCAACTGGATCTCCGTCTGCCTCTATGGGTTAGTCCGATGAAAATGATGCCTCATTTTTTCTCTAATGGTTCCAATTACGCACCGATAAGCAATGCGAAAGTCAATCTCGTATGTCAAAATAACTGATAAAGGAAGCCATGAGTTAAAACGCCATGATTGTAAGAAGAGTTGCAAAGGACGTCCATTTCAATTATTGATTTGTCCACAGCCACATCCGGGAGCGTCTGTCGTCCCGGCTGTACCTGCTCACCAAGGCCATCAAACACCAGATCTCGTGCGGTCCCGTGGACGCCGTCACCCTGGAGGCTCACTACAGCCTCGCAGAGGAGCGGCTGCTCCGACCCCAGATCGAACACAACAGCGTGGTAAGGAAAACATTCAAGTCAGCGATGTAAAAATCATGTGTAAGCATATTGCGTTCCTGTGTTTTGGGGAGCGTAAGAAATTTTACTTTCCTTAGGAGTTGAAACACTAAAATATTTTCCAGACGTTGCTGGTGACGACTGAAGAAACTCCGTACGAGAGGATCCCTTGTAACGACTACCAGAGCCAGCCTCGCCACTACGAGGACGTCATTCACAAGGTGACGGTGCACGCGCTCGACTGCGACTCCATCAGCCAGGTGAAGCAGAAGGTGGTCGACGCCGTGTTCTGCGGCCTGCCTGCCTCGCAGCGGCCCAGCCACCACTGCGTCGCGCTGGGTGAGTAATACATTTTTCTATTGGTCCGAGCTTGCATACATTTGAGGTACTTTATAAAATTGCGTGATGTTTTTTCATCGATCCATAAGGATATCTCAAACCACGGTGTTTTACTAGAGACCGCACGATTTATCACATACAAACCCGCCACCCGCAATAAGCTGGTGCATTGCGGAACAGCATAACTACAGGCGTTTACCACTAGCGCCATCTAGGTCCAGGAATACAAGTTAAGCCACGGCTTTTCTCTCGCAGTGTGGCTGACGGCGGACGGTCAGCGGACGCCGCTGGCGGACGAGGACGCCACCAGCAGGACCGTGGACGGCTGGCGGCAGATCAACACCCTCTCCCACTACGGCATCAACAAGATCGCCACCATGTTCCTCGTGCAGGCCAGGGAGACGGTCCGAACGAAAAAGTACAACACGCCTTCATGTGAGCATTCAGTAGCACCAGAGTTCCTTTCCCTCCTCGGCTGTTTTCACTAATTTTGATAAATATTTTAGTAACGTCTTTTTTGTTGCCCTTCGTCAAGCTATATTTGATCTGATAGCAACTTGCAATATGCCATTTTTACGTGACGCTTAGCTTTCAGCTACGTGTGTAGCACCATTCCAACGCCGATTTTCTCTTCCAGCGGTCGGAAGTTTCTCGCTTCCGTCGGCATTTTCGCCGTTGGTGGGCTCCAACATTTACGTGAAGCCGGGCGCCGAGATCCGTGTGTACCACCTGGTGCGTCCCGAGGGTCCGGCTGGCGGAGGCGGCGGCTCCGGTGGTCAGGAGACGGCCGCCAGAGCCGTGCCAGAGGTGTTCCTCACGCGGCTACTCGCGACAAAAGGTGAGTCGGGGAGGCCAGACCATTCGGCTGCTGACCAACAAACGCGAGTCAGAGAGGACTTTGTACCCGGCTTCTGGCCACCTAAGGGAAAAATACCTCCAAAATATAACACTTATATCGTCTGGGTGGGACATTATCACAAATTATAGCTGGCATACACCCAGCGCCACCCACGTCGCCTCTGACCATGCCGCTGCGCGGGCCCCACAGCGATGCTGCAGCCGTTCATAGATACCATGGCGTCGGCGCTTCTGACACCCGACGAGGAGCCGCCGCCGGTGGTCAAGTGGCTGTTTGACGTGCTCGACGAGGAGGCCGAGCGTCAGGGCATGGACCAGCCGGACATCCTGCACGCCTGGAAGGCCAACTGGTGAGCGACGGACGCCGCGAATGTGATCGGCGATTCCTGCGTGCATATCGTCAAACGACTTTCGCTGAAATATTTCAATCTTATCTGAAAAGTAAATAGAGTGAATAACCTTGTGCTCATGTTATATGTTGCAAATTGATATAATTAAAACTAAATTGATATATTTCGATATTGCACCGTCATCATTCTGATGACGGTGCAATATCGAAATATATCAATTTAGTTTTGATTATATCAATTTGCAACATATAACATGAGCATAAGGTTATTCACTATATTTACATTATTAATCATGCTCAGAAATACCATAGCTTACCTCCAAGAAGTTATCTGAAAAGATTGTATTTTGCTGAAAATCAATGATGTAAAATAAACTGGTGATTATTGCTTTAGAGTTCGCGAAATCCATCGCAAGCGCCATAAAAGTCGCCTCCAGCGACAGGCCCGTGCATTGCGGAACAGCATAACTACAGGCGTCGACCACTAGCGCCATCTATGCGCAGGAATATAAATTAATACCGGCGGGGTACGAAACAACTTTCGGCTAGCTTCTCACTTATGCTCTTTAGTCTTTTGTTAATACCAACGGCGTCGAACTAGCAATGAATGTTTTAATCTTTATCTCAGTAATTAACATTTTCAAGGATGAATAGTTACCATTTTGTGCATTTCTTTCGCAGTTTGCCGCTGCGGATGTGGGCGAACCTGATCCGCCGACCGGAGCTGATATTTGACCTGGACAAGTCGCCCGCCGTCGAGTCCAGTCTCACTGTGATATCCCAGAGCCTTGTGGAGGCGTGTCTGCCCACGCCGCACACAATCTCCAAAAACTCTCCGTCGCACAAGCTGGTGTTTGCCAAGGACATTGGTCGGTGGCAGTGTATGGTGGGCGACTATTTCGAGTCGGTGCGGAGCCGGCCGCCGGTCAGTGACCAGGACCTGGCCGTGCTGCTGCAGCAGCTGTCGCGCCACCACGCCGGCCAGTTTGACGCCATCGCCGCGCTCAAGGAGCTCTACATCTACATCACCAAGTACGGCGAGCCGATCGCGCAGGCGCTCGACAGCGAGCCCACCTGTCAGCAGCTGTTCTTCTCGAGCCGTCTTTCAAACATCGCCGCCAGCCTGGAGATGCCCATTTGCTGAGTCTACACACTGGAAACTCGGTCCCTCAGAAAACGTCCACTGAGAGTCCCGCTCTCAGTTCTGTACCACTGCGCGGTGAATGGAACCGCGCAGTCCGTTACACAACTCGCGAGGCGAGCTCAGTATGGAGGCTCAGATTATTTACGCTTCTAACCGGTATATGGGGCGTGGCGGCAGGTAGCCTGATGCCGAGACCTGCCTGCCACGAAATAGTTTTAGCCTCTCGTCCACCGGCCCCGATTTCTGCTCGGTGTAGGTGGCGCGGCTGTGCAATGTTGCAGCCAGTGCAGTGAGCTGAGGGCGTGCCGCCGAATCTCCGAGACCGCCGGGGCTCGGAGTGGGGACTGAGTGGCCGCTGGCCGACGCTGCACGCCGAGATATCAGAGGGCCCGTGTGCCCCGTAGCCTTTGGGGAGCGCTGATGGCGCCTCAGTAACTAGTCATGCAGGGGGCCGGCTCTGGCGGCGCCGGGTGGGCAGACCGCCGTGTGATGGTGGTGATGTGCCCCTGTGTACGGATGATCGTGATACACCCCCTCCCCCGTGTACGGATGGTGGTAATACGGCCTCATATGTACGGACGGTGGTGCTGTTAGGTCAGTTGGAGCGCGGCCAGTGGCGCCCGAGTCGTTTCGCTGTGTTCCCATCCGGGAGAATTGGGCCAAGTGGTGTAAACTGCTATTTGAGTAGGGATTTTGTATCAACGATGTATTGTTACCAGTTGTCTTTATTATTCAATAAATGCACTGTTTTTATTGCGCTTTTTTAACCTCTGCATAAAAACCCATGGCCTTCCCGAACACACATTTTCAGAATGACGTTTCGCCCCCTGCGGCCTACATATGAGTACTTTGGATGAAAACAAACGAACACCCGACCATCGGTGTCCGTGGTACCCCCCCCCCCCCCCCCCCTCCTCTTCCCCTCCCGCCGTCTGCCCCGGATGAATTCTCCAGTGAGCAGACTTACCTGAATATGATCCGAAGAATGGAGGCCCACCTTGGCCCGATGACAAGATCATATGGCTCCATTCCGGTATTCACCAGCCTCGGCCGCCTCGGCCAGCGGCCTCACAATGCGCCTTGGCACTGCGTGAACACGAACAGCACCACATTCCGTCCACAACACCACATCCTAGTCACACTTCACTTCTCATGCTCACTTCACTTAGCTCACTTACTTCATTCACTTCATACCTTAGGGCAGTCCCGCACGATAGCAATAATCCTGTCTTCTCTTCGCCCCGAGTCGCTTCCATATTGAGGGCGAGGAGCCTTATAACACTGACGCTGCGAAACCCGAGACGTCGATCACCGATTTTATCACTGGCGAACCAACACCATCGCTCACCACACGGCACTCACCATTAGTTCTAATTCGAATTTTATCCGCGTCCACGCACACGTCACGTCTCAGTTCACTGGGCGCAAACAACTTCACTCGCGACTCGTCACTTCTGCTGCGGCCCAGCGTGTCGCCCAAGGCCATCGTGTCGCCTGTTTCTGCGCCGCGGTAGCCGTCCTCATTTCCTATTGGTCGTGGCGATTGGCCCGGAGGCCCCGTCCTAAACCGCCCGCGGGCATAGCTTTGTCACGAACGCGCACCGACTTCTGCTTGAGCGGTCACTAGCATTTTGATTAGATCTTAAATAAATCTAAAATCAAGCCTCTGAATTCTGATGCAAGAAAAATTGTAGATGGATAAGATCTAAGATCTTAGATACCTACCTAAAACAATGAACATATTTCATTCGGTGGGTGGATATCGTACGAACGATATAAACTTATTTTCTATTGGTTTCATTTTTAGTGAAACGAGCATTTTGATGGATGATTTAGACTGGTAAATTGCGCGAGTTGGGGAGAGAAATTCAATGGCCACCGTTTTTCAGAGACGACTCACCAATATCTGCTACACAATTTGCCGTCCAGCTCGACCGCTTATCGATGACCCGCGGCTGGTCAGTCGGCGAGACTCAAGTAGGTCGATCATTCGCCCCCTGGACTGGTCACTGGTCAGAAACCCGGAAAACGGTCGGAGATAGTTGGAAGTGGTCGGAACGGAAGTGGTTGGAGATGAATTGTAAACTGTTCGTAAAACTACTCGATCGGCCGCCGGGTGCCGAACATTAGGAAAGTGACCCGTTTTATCGTGCTTGTCAGTCACTGTGAAAATCTGAAAACAAGTCAATCTATCAGCGAGCTGAGATCGTTCACCGGTTGATCGCCGATGAGTCTGGCCTGATATAATCCGAGACCGATGGGTCGAAAAGAACCTATTTGTGACACTATCACGAGAAATTAGTCATTTTAGTTTATGTCTTGGAGCCACAAGAACGTCGGTTCTCTCAGTCGCGAAAATCTGATGAACAAGCCGCCCTGAGGTGCAAATCACCAGCTGATCTCACGCATCGCATCGACAACTGGTCACTATACTGGCGGATAAAAGAAATCGCCCGAAATTCGGGTGGTTGCACTAGCTCAATACCCGATTTATCTATTTGAATTTATCTACCTATTTGATATTTTAACCCTATTCCTGGCGGGGGGGGGGGGGGGCTCAGGAGCCCCCCCCCCCGAGGTTTTTTGGTTATATCTCCCAAACGCTTTGAGCTAGGAAGCTCAAATTTTCTGACTTTTTCTAAAAGGCTTTTACGCAACATTTCTGAAAATTTTGAGTTGATCTGACCTCAGGTCAGGTCACCAGAGGCGGTTTGGTGACCCTACCTCAGAAAAGTTTGCAATCACGCCAGAGCTAGAGTTTTTGACCGATCAATTTCTTCTCTTCAGGCTTTAGTTAGGGTACCAGTATGTGCAATTTGTATATCTCAGAATTTTCATATCTGTGACCTGAGGTCAGGCCAGACTCGTGACCTTTACATTGCAAGCCTATGGGAAAATATTGAAACGCCTCCTGCTTCGTGTAAACGAGTCAAAACCACCCAGTTCTTTCAGTATTACGGAAGATTATCTCATCGGTGATGATCCTGGTGCCGCTAATTGACAGGGGCACCGGCAAAGGTCATCTGAGGTCATGTGACGTCATAAATCGTTTTTCTGTCAATAAATCACGACATGATGGTGCTAAAGACTTGTAAGTGGTACCAAACTGCTCGCCTGGTCAAGGCGCGTCGTTTGGTATGCAGCATGACCATACTCCACAACCTCATTGATAAATGACCTGACCTTGACCTCAGGTCAAATTTTAAATTGACCTGTGAAGGTCATCACATACTTATTTCGCATCGCCTCGGCGAGAGCAACAAAAAATGTATTGGTTTTATGTCTCTATGTTTCTTAGTTTAAAAGTTATACCTATAGGTAACTAATTCCAAAACATTTTATCGTTGATGACCTCTGGTGACCTCAATATTGACCTGACCTGAAAATGTTTTTATGTAAAAGTTGTAGATCTTTAAACGACCTATCAAACGCCGTTCGCCGTTTGTCGCTGCGATGTGTAGTTTTTGAGATCTGAAGGGGGGGCGAATCGGCCCCCCCCCCCGCCAGTTTCTTGTCCCGGCGGAGCCCGCCAGGAATAGGGTGCGGCGTTTCCTCGCATGTGTACCCTCGCATGTGTGCGGCGTTTGCCAGCTTCTAATGTGTAGGGGGGGGGGGGTCGGTTGGACCCCCCCTTGCCGTTTGGCCCCTGATCGAGCTAGAGCTTCGCGGAAAAAACGAACGTGTTGCCCGTGACGAGAGGAAGCCGATGATACCCAATTTTAAGGTCCTAGGTCATTGGTTGACCTTCCAGGTCAGGTCAATGACCTAAAGTCGGGAAAATCGGGACCTGTTAGAAAGTCGTAAAGTGTGGCTGCTAAGAGGTTTTTCGGGGTGCTGATCACGAATATCGTGTTAGTTTTGATCACAGATGATGTCTTGAAGCATTTAGACCAGGTCGGGTCAGGTCAGGTCAGGTCAACCAGTAGGCGTCGTGACGGGTATTCGTAGTACGTGTCAACCACCTCTGACAGCTTCGTAACATGTTACGAAGTCACCAAAACTACTTCGTAAATGTTCAAATGGTTGCTAAATTCGAATTCAGCTCCAAAAACTAGCCTAGAAGCATGTATAACTCGAAAAAGTGACCCGAGGTCACCCGAGGTCACCAAAGGTCAATGACCTGACCTGACCTTCAGGTGACCTTGACACACACGAGAGTAACATCAAATCACATGTTTGAACGTTTGAAACCACGAAAAGCTTGCAAACACGCGGCTAGTGCGAGCCGACATACGCGAAACCGCGATTCCAGCCAAACATGGTCTCGGAAAAGAGGTCACAGGTCAAAGGTCATTTGGGTCAGGGTCATGAAATTTTCAGGGTAGGTGTAAAATTGATCAATGCGAGGGTACTAAGAGTTTCGTCGCGATCGGCCGCTTTTTACGCGAGTTATTCGCGAAAAACCATGGGGGGGGGGTCCATCCGACCCCCCCCCCTACACATGCGAGCTAACAGCCTTCCAAAGAACCATAAGCGACTGCCCCCGTTCGATCAGTCGTACCTACAAACGCGCGTGCCGGGCACCTTGCAAACCGTATTAAGTAAGTTGAAAATCAGTGACACTACATGTAGCTAAGTCTGTAACACATAGCGACGTCATTAGGGTCATATTTGTTCTTCGTCAATAACTCCCGATCAAATTGAGCAAGCGAGTCAGGAAAGCTACCAATGGACTCGGGAAGACCTGCCGAATCGAATGCTATGCGACATGACCTCCTTCGATCAATTTCGTGACCTGGGGGCGCTGACCTGACCGTGGCCCGAGGTCAACGCCCTAAAGTTGACCTAATCCAAACAAAAAGTATATCATTCGACGCGCCGGAGTGAGACCGGAGACGAACACGATGCTGCCAAAATCGCGGCTCTGCGTCCGTTTTTTTTTGCGAAGTTATTCACCAAAAACGGAACCGTACCTTGGGGCACTTGACCTGACCTTAGAGGTCACCGGTTCACCTATGACCTTAAAATCGGGTGTCAATCTCTGCGTCTCGTAACGGCGCACACGCTCTTTTTTCTCCGCGACGCGCTAGCTCCGCCAGGGGCGAAACGGCGAGGGGGGTCGTACCCGCCCCCCCCCCTCGGCCGGTGCGTATAGAAAACGAATAGGTCCGGCGAGAGTTAAAAATAACGCGTGACGGGCCGATTTACGGAAACGGGTGGGACAGCGCATATAACTACCTTCGGTAAGATTTGACGTCTCGTTAAGGACAATCAATGCCTGTTATTCTTACGAACACTAGGCCCGCTGGCTCGAAATTAACTTTATTTGATTACAATATACCTATGAATAAACCCAATCGGCTGATTGCTACATAAAAAGGTACATAACTACATATGAAAATTGCAGAGAAACGTGTTAGCGTGCTCCGTCGTCCCAGATATAAACATATTACCCTGAAGCCCTAGGTCGCCCCTCAACATCCTCAAATGGAAAGAAGCCTTAAGAAAAGAAGCCGACTCGTAAAATTATGCGCGTCAATGTCCCATTCCCTGAATGGAGCACGGCAGAGTCAGTAACCAACAGGGGTCAGTCGCATCGTTCCATCGCACGACGGGGCTTATCGACCAACATCACCATTTCACGCACCCTAAAACCGCCAACCTAACAGGCCAGTGTCTGGAATGACGTGTATTTCGCCAGAGACATCACTATCGCGAGGCGCGCTGCTCAAATCACCGTTGTAACAACCTGTCCAGCGCATTCGTTGCGTCAGGAGACCCTTACGACAGACCCAGCCCGGGAGCACGCACTGCTGCCCCTGGGCTGGGGTCAGTCTCGTCTGTGAACGGGCGGACCAGCCCTCCGACGGAGGCGGGACATTTCTTTTAACTGGATGACGTAAAACATGTTTCAGCGAATTCCATTAATAACATTTAGGACGAATGAATGCAATTTTTAACCAGGTAAAGCAAATATTCCCAAAGACATAACGAAATGCACAAAGTACCGCGCACAGGGCTAAAAGAAACGTCCCGTCGATAACGAGGGATGATCGGGAAAACAAGACAAGCCGGAAAGTAAATTAACATGGTGTCAGGGTCAACACAAGTTACTTGATTATGACTGTATAGCTGCAAAACAAATCAAGCAAGCTACGTTTGTTTCTTGAAACACGCATAGGATAGTATGGGGTAGTTCCAAAACAACAGAGTGACTCGCATTTATCATGAACAGACAATTTGATAAAAACTTGTCGCAACCATTACAACACAACTAAGGAGACGCCGGTTCTTATCAAAGCCACAACTACGCTACAGCCACAGAAAGCATCTAGTAACCGAAAGAGCTGGTAGGTCCTTACAGTTGTATAACAAAATTACAGATAATAAATATGATTAGTATGTTTTACTTGAACTATTTCACTCGCGCGGTTAATAGTGATAGCCTTGGACCATCTCCCAAACATTGCATCATTAAAGAAGCTTTAGCCGGGTGCGTAACTGTGCAAACCCTGGGCCATACCCGGCCCTGAGTGCGTATTGACTAACAACTCTTACCTACCACCGCCGTTAAACAGGACACATCACCAAAACAACCAGCCAATCACAAGGAAACAGCTCATATAACAAGCTATGTACAAGGGGCAGCTGGTAGCCGCTCACTGGCGCTCCCACCGGCGCGTCCAACGGGTGGCGCCAGCGTTCCGGTCACCAGTAGGACCTACTGCAGCGCCCCTTCCTCCACGGGGGGTTGCTGTGGTCAGAGACACGGTCAGGCGTGCTCAGCACCGGAACGGGCGCGGTGGCGTGCCACCCGACGCGTCCTCCGTCATCGTCAGCGGGACAAAAGACACTGGCGTTGGTGGTTGTGTGTGCGTGAATTGTCAGAAAACCACCCCGGTGTCCTCAGCCATCAAGGTAGCGTCTCAAACGTGATTTCGCGATCAATCTGAACGCGATACTGCACACCGCAATCCCTTCTGACCTCTGACCACACGGGACATATTATCAACTCCCCGACTGTTACGGCCAGTCAACACTCATTGTCCGGCAGCTAGGCTCGCTATCTGTAATAAGCACACTTCACACGGCGAGCCAACTATAAAGACCCGCCTGATCAAACCAAATGCGTCACCAAAGTGGCGATACGATCGCACTCTTCTTCACACCCCGCTGAAGCCTCATCACAGGCCGTCGGCCGGAGCCCACCACCGCTCCGTCTCCCTTGCTCCTCCCAGACTTTCTGTCAGTCTTGTGACGTCACATTCAGACCACCTGGACGTCCGGCGTTTCGGCGGCCGACGGCTGTTTCTGCTGCTGCTGCGGCGGCGGGGCCGGCGCCGGGGCGGCCGGGGCAGGCGCCGTCGGACTGGCCGGCGGTGCCGGACTGTGCGTGGCCGGCGGAGACTTGGCGTCGTCGTCCATGTTGGGCCAGGACGTGGGCGAGTCAGTGCGCTGCAGACGCTCGCTCAGCGCCTTCAGCGCGATTTGCCTGTCGAGCACACCGGACGGCGTCAGAACAAGTGGTAGGTAATAGAACCCAGGGTAGGGTATATAGAAGGACATAGAACCACTGCATAGAGAGCAGGCTGTGTTGGTGAGCACAGGTAGAAAGCAGAAGTTATATCTGTACGCTGATTGGTAGTGGGAAAAGCGTTATGCAATACAGAAAAGGATTTCAAATGGAATTAAGCTATTTCTTATTGAATGTTTTCAATGGCATACAAACCAGAGTCGGTAAGCACGCGTGGCAACACGAATCGCTGTGTGCTACCTTTCTTACAAACGAAAAAAAAACATACAACATGAAGTACGAGGCTCAGTCTGAGTCAACACATACATTTAGAGACTCAGAGTGGAGAACATATTCTCCCATCCCTCCCCCGGCTATGCGCCGGCTATACGAAAGCATGGAAAGGTGAGAACATCATTTTCAATTCATCAGCTAAACACATCTAAAAACAGGCTTGAGTTGGGGCTTAGAAACACAAGAACCAAAATAGAATGAGCGTTCGGAAGTCATCATCCTTTGATGTTGTCACGTGTCAGGAGCTTAGCCAGACGATTATGTGAGCGTAACTGCTATTTCAGAGCCAAAACTGAACCACCTACCATTTATCACGCATTACTTGCTGAAAGTGATATCATAAAGACATTGCACGCCGCGACAGTGGTAGCCACAGTCGCGCCCGCCGTGTTGTGGGACCAGTTTCCAAGCAACAAGTTGTTCAGCAGTCAATACATCGTTGTTTTGGTGAGAACGGCTCCCGTTTTCTTTAGTTGTTCAGCAGTCAATACATCGTTGTTTTGGTGAGAACGGCTCCCGTTTTGCGCTTTCGAGCAGCCCGGCTTTCCCGTGTGGGAGCGAAGAGACTGCTCGGTCGCAAAAATGAGGCGAACGGAGCAGATGACATCCGACTGGTGTGCCATGCTCATCATATGCACCAATTGGCGATTACGGCAGTTGACACGTAAAGCCCGTTGTTTATCAACGTTGTCTATCGTTACTAAGGACGGTGACATTGGTATCCTCATAGACCTCTGTATACATGGTCTATGGTATCCTAAATATGTCTCCGTAGGCCGACAAATTATCCCGGCGACAGTGCTTATGTTTATGGCTAACTTATAATAATATGGAAGAGCACTTGTTGAGCTGCGCTTGTTCAATTCTGACAAACAAACTTAAAGGGTAGCATTTAATTAATGAAATGACGATTGGAAAACAATGAAGTGAGGTACCAACACTCCAAACGTGATATACAGTAAAGCCACTGCAGATAGTGCTGAGCTCCTAATCGGTACGGCCGTGCGGACGGCGCGGGCCGTCGTTCGGCCGTGCGTCTCACCGTCTCCGCTCGGCGTCCTGAGGCTCCACGCCGGGCAGGCTGATGGTGATGGACGAGGGTGCGCCGACGTCGTACTTCTTCACGGGCCGCCGGCAGACGCGCACCTTCACCAGGCAGGCGTGGATGGCGTTACACACCGCCGAGATGGGCGGCTGCACCACGTTCGGGAAGAACCTGCAGCAGCAGCGCACAGGGATTACAGCCTGGACAAAACAACAGACAGTCATGGATAATGGATATTCTACTTTCAATAGCAAAACATTTTACACACAGTGGCATAAGCCCTTTTCAACAAGGTTAGCACAGTCCATTATTTATTTATACTTGGAATTTACTTTTGGTTGAAGTGGGCATTGTCAAGAATTGCTACAGTTTATATGTAATGTAAATTTGTCATCTATTTTTCTTCCTCGTGCCCCACCTAATGCTCACACAAGAACATTGCCAATCAATGATTGAACTTAGAATAATAATGAAACAATTAACTATGAAATTGGTGAGCAAAATGAATTAAAAATACATTTCTAGGTGGAACATTTTGCAAAGCCATTGTGAATCATAATAAAACATGGTAAAACAAACTGTCTACTCACTTTGCAAATGCAAATCCATCAGCCATGTCTCCTTTGGTTCCATTGGAATGAGGCTGGTAGAAACGAAGGTAAGTCCAGCTGATCACAAATCCAAGGGTGAACATTGTTGCATAGCTTCCTTCAACAGCTCCAATAACATAGAGGAGGATGGAGATGAGGACCAGAATCAGAGGCACATTCCTGTTAGTGATCTTCACTGGTGCCCTGATCACAATATGATCTGGCATGATCTGCTTCACTGCCACAGAGCAGCCTGATATGTAGCCAGCCAGTCCATGGATGTGCACATTGAATAGGAGGTCCGTGTTAAATGTGCACATGTACAAAAACAGGTAGAAGAATCCAGACAGAACTGCAACTAGGACATTCACAACCAAGAAGAACAGGAGCATTTCATTGCCACCCCAGAGTGGCTCCAGAAGCTTGCCACACAGAACAATCGTCACAATGTCAATACATACTTCCCACAGATGTATTTCCAGGAAGCAGTGGGTGAATGCAGTCCATAGCCAGAATCTTGGTGGGAGAAGATATCCTGGTGTAACACTAAGTACATCAATAAGTGTGTCAGAAAAAGACAAACAGTATCCAAGCAGAGTGACTCCAATGACAAACTTCACAAACAAGCCCGTGTTAGCAATCGCAGCTCCAGCTTGCTGCGACAAATACGGAATGTTGCGCCTGATTGAGGAGAAAGACATTACTGCATCAACACTCTGCCGCAGCAAAAGTTCTTGCAGATATGTATCTCAGAATGAAGGGATGAGGATCTTGAAACTGTTGCGCCAATACAAATTTGCTGTCAACTCCAACTCCAAAGTCAGGATTTTAGCTTCAGCGCTTTGCATCCATTTCATGTAGTAGATACCATCAAAACAGATTCCCTGATCAGTCTTGCATCTTGCTCACATCTATCTCAAGCACACCTTCTCTAAAATGCACTGAGATGTAAACAGAAAATACAAAAATGACTTCAAAATCCGCCTCATGTATTATGGACTTGTTTGCTATGTCTATGAGTCGAGTGTAAATACTTCATCGTTGAACTATGCATTATGACTGTTTCAATTTGGTCTTGTTACGTCATATCGATGCACGAATGAGAAAATTCCAATAAAAACCTAAATGTTTAAAAACAGAAGAAGTGCGCGTAGCAAACGAAACTCCGACAAGAAATGAAAATTATTTTGACAAAAAAATCAAACAATACACCTCCTTTAAATGTTTTTTGCTCTTTTGAGGATCAGAATCCCCGAGCTGTTGACGTCAAAAATATATATTCAGTTTCATAAGGAAAAAACTTTAGCATAAATTTAAGGTTGATGTAAAAACTAAAGAAAGGAAGCTAAAGTACAGCCAAATGCTGCCGCAAATCATGCGCAAATCCAGATAATTCTTGGACATTCAACCATGGATGAATAGGAACCCAGCCAAACCACCACGCAAGAATAAAGATCGGCTCAGTTTATTTCGCAGTTGGCACACACTTGCGATCCCGATGTGGTTTTTGGAAGGTTTTTGGGACAGTTGCACCTCCTACAGCAATGCTGTAGCATGCTACACTAGCATCCATTTGCACTTTGTCCTGTGGGTGGCTAGTTTCATCTCATGTCCGCATGCGACGTTACTTGCGATGTCGTAAGAGACTCCTCATGCACGGTACCAGTGTCGCCAGTGTCCCCAAGGCCACCAAGGCCATATAAGAGTGTCCCATTCAGAAACGACTTTTAATTCTTCCCCGTAGCGAAAACAGTCCCTTGAAGTGATCCAAACAACTAAACAAACAGTAACACTGCCACACAATTAAACAATTACTATGTAGCATGTAATGATTGATACTGAATAGATGATAATTATGTGTTCTTGAATACCAGCAATTCATAACACATCATTGCTACATAGTATTGTATTTCACAAATGGTAACAGGTCAAGCCCAGGACACCAAAAACGAGAATACATTCGCACTGATCAACACTGCAATAATACACAATACCGATGCTCAGATTCACACAAAAGTCGCAGGTCACCAAAGTTGCAAACAAGTTGCAAAAGCTGACGTCCGCGGCGTTGAGTCATATCTCTCGACAGCATCACTAGTTGTGATCGCTGACTCGCTAAACAAGCACCGGCTCCGTTGCAGTCATGTCCGCTACCTCGGATTGGGGTACTGTTTCAGTAGCACGTTCGCTTGCCGCGCGGTTAGCTTTCGGCCGGATCCATGTCCCAGAACACCTTCTGATGATGTAGACCTCTTCATGTAAGCATCTCGCTCTTTCTGCGGAGCAATAGCCAACGGTCAGATATTGTAGGTATAAACGGAAATCCGTCATGATACGTAACGCTTTGCCCCTGAGAAATGAAACATGAAAAGCCAGACAGAGTCAGAAAGTGTTTTGCCCCTCATGTTATCAATTTAAATAACATTGATTTACCCACAGGAAAAGTAGCCACGCTTAGAATTACCTTAGCATCAGTGTTACCAGCAAAAGCAAATATTATGGCTCATTTTATTATTTTTAGTGCCTTTAAGAGGATAAATCTAGCAGATTTTTTGGTGTCCTGCATTTCACCAGAAATGTGTGCAGGAGCCAGGAGAGGGTTAAGTTCTGTGAGCAAAGGAAATCATTGCACAGTTTCATTTAGCAAAAATACCTACACTAAAAACTGCTCTTACCAAATATGTTTGATGACAATTTTCAAAGGCCTGAAGCTCTTTGCTGCACTTAATTTCATTGTGGTCGTATTTCTTCCAGCAAGCGAACATAGCTTGCATTTCCTGAACACATGCCAAAGCTGTGAAAGAGAGCGAATAGGTAACCTGTTACAGCAATCCATAAACAATAGGTAGACACAATCAAATGATTTTCCATCAGGCCTACAGGGCTGCGGAGTGCGGAGTCATGGGTTTTCGCCTCGGGACTGAGGACTCCGACTCCAACTCTCGAAAGCATGAAGTAGGTATTCTCATAGCACCCACGTCACAGGACACATTATAAATGCCATCTTCTTGGTTTAAAGCCATTATGGACAACATCTATGGGTTCATTCTAATTTTTCACCACCTATTCCAATTAAAGAAGCTGCAAACTCACCTCCATATCGGTCCTTTCTGTCTGTTATCTGATCGGTGAGTGCCAGACCTTTGACAGGTTTGAAAGGAACAGGCTCCCTGCCAGGCCCTCGGGCCACAAACCTGGCAGCTGAGCCTCGCATCTTCTGTCAACACCAAACAAAAAACAACCTTAACAAGACAGGTATACACACTCAACCAAGTTCCCCTAACAGCAGCATCCCTCTCAAGTCTCAACACAATAGGATGTCTGATGTCAACCATCAAATGACCGGCAAAAGCACATGTCAATGCCCATGTGTCTGGAACATTAAGAAAACTACTTATTGACTTAGAGACACATTGTGGAGTTTGAAATAGGTATACCATATAGAAATGTTAAAAACGGATTTCCACAAAGTTAAAAGTCAATTAGTTCAGCCTGGCTATAAATGAATTGGTACAACTGATTAATATTGTGACACAATTGTTGATGTAGATATGTAAATACATTTAGAGAGTTCCAATAAACTAACAAGTAGCAAACTTTGTACAGAATGTCCATCGCATGAGTTTCTTTATAATAATGATGTATATACCCATACTATAGGAATCAAATAATATCTAAACCAGGGTCCAGGACATATGGGAAACATGACCAATACCTATCATTGATGCACTCAGTGGAGGTATCCGCGGGCATTTCATGAATTGTGACACCTCAACAAAATATTATTTCAGATTCCTGTTTCTTGGGTAATTATTGGATTCTGCAGGCTATAGTTTTCAAGCTTTTAATTACATTTTTCATGCCTATTCAGTTGACAGTTACTCGATCTGTTACTGTTATGGAAATGTGACCAGCGGTCACTTCTCCCGAACTGGCCGAACGTACGTCCTACCAAATTTACCAACCAATATGACAATAGGTAGATATAGATAGATAGAAAGATAGATAGGTTTGTATTCCAGACTAAGAAGTCATTATCAATATGTTTATCTTTCTGCTGACAATCCACAACCATTACTCGTAAGGAAATTGAAATGCATAAAAAAACATTCTATGCTTACCAAGAGGTACCGCGTACAAACTGTACCTATGGACCGTCAGCTGATTATATATAGAATCCGCCAATCCGGTATTTAAAAATTCACATATACCCTACCCTGGAAATTCAACACGATCTCTCGTTATCAACCTATTATGGCCGATTTAAATATAAAGCAGTAAGCACTATATATGGCCACAGATTGCATAAAGTGCACGGCGAAAAAAGCGTTTGCATATGCAACTTCTGCGCCATAGATGTCTTCCTTTAGTAGCTTCCATATCCGTAAATTCTCTACTTGTCCTAAGAAGTCACTTTTTTAGAAATATGTGGGTTTTATTTGCAGGAAGATCAAGACGATTTTTTTACATTTCATTACATCACAAGAACACTTTGAAAAGGGAATGCATTCTACGGTCATAAAAGAAAGGATCCAATAAGTGCATATTTCTTGATACTTTTTCCTTCACGTGCCAACGAAAAGTCGAAAACATCGACGCCATTTTGTGTTGACTTTGGACCGGCTTCTCTCGTTTATCGAGTACGTTAGTTCGACGAATTTCTAGTAATTTGAGCCGATTTCGTTGTCTTCTTATCGTTTCCATTTCCATAACGTGAAGGGTAATGTGAAGAACCTTGCATTGCTTCATTTTAAACCGGGAAGTGGCAAGAATTGGATATATTTCCCCGGATCAAACTGAACGACCCCAGCCATGTCACGCTTTTCATCCGATACAAAAGTATACGTGGGTGAATTGGGTAAGTGCGCCATCGAAATAAGAGCTAATTATCTAAGGACAATTTGCGGTTTGATGGGTATTACCCTGAGAAACCAATGACTGTCAAGGTGTGCAATTTGAATTGGTTGTTGGGCTGAATGGAAATTGCGGGAGATGAAAAAGCAATAGCATTCTAGATCTAAGAGCATTGGCTTACTCAGTTTGTTGTGGTTAATGAAGTGTTAGTACAATTTAATGAAACTGATGTGTGGTGTAATTTATGTTGCATATATTCATTTGCATTGTAGGTACCTATCTTAGAAATGACAACTTAATTGAGGTGTCCTTTTTCTTATTGCAGGATCTAATGCATCACAAACAGAGCTTGAAGATGCATTTTCACACTATGGACCACTGAGGAATGTTTGGGTAGCAAGAAATCCACCAGGCTTTGCTTTTGTGGAGTTTGAAGACCCCAGAGATGCCAAGGAGTCCATCAAGGCTCTTGATGGCACGTAAGTAATGCCAGTAATGTTTGAATGAGGTTAGAGGTAGGTACCTTTTCTGCTGTGTCACAAATGTGACAGTAGCAGTCAGATTACATTGCATGCCAACTCAAGTAAAAGGTAATTAAGATACATATGAACAAAGTTACAAATATAGTCTAAGAAAGTGACTTCTGATCACATACACCAACATCTGCCTCATATGCAGGATGACACTTATTTTGGTCAGAAGATGCCAGTTTCCCCAGCTTTTTTATTATCTGATGCTTGGTACCTGCTTCTGCAGTAGTTTACCTTCTATCATAAGTGTGATACCTACATATATTGCATTTTTGTTCATTGCTTGTGTTTCATGCATTATTAATGTTTGGGGTTATGTGACAATAGCACAGCTTTTCAAATTTCTTCAGTTGAATGATCAGGCATAAATATGGTATGTTTCTTTGGTTGTGGTTTGCAGTGATATTCCAAACATTAAAGATTTCAAGGATTTATGCAGTAGGTATCAGTGAGTGGGAAACTACACTAATGACCCCAAGACACCTATGTGAAGCCCAGCCCAGAAGCATCGGCCCACAGCTGAAGTTATTAGCAGTGCTTCAGACATTCTGTATGTGCTATTTCTGCTGTTTTCAGCCGGGTTTGCGGCCACCGTGTGGTGGTGGAGCTTTCGAATGGCCGCAAACGGAACCGTGCCGGTGGCATGGGCGGCGGCCGTGATCAGCGAGACATGGCCGGCTTCCGGGGCGGCGCGCCGCCGCCGCGCCGGCCCCGCTTCGACCCCAACGACCGATGTTACGAGTGCGGCGAACGTGGCCACTACGCGTACAACTGCCACCGTCGCCGCAGCGGCCGCGGCAGGTACGTGGACCCGAGTGTCGCCTCCCGATTTCCGTGTCGCCGTACAACTCTGTGTGTCGTATCCGCTGCTACTGTCACTGACTGTACCACAGTGCTCTGATCATGTCCACAGCCCCGCTGCCGACGTCGCAGCTCTCTGACACTCTTCCTGGCTTCTGTAGGGGGTGACAGGTGCTCGTGCGCCCGCCCCGTGAACCCGACACACACTGAGAGAGAGCGCGCGAGCGCGAGAGAGAGAGTGCGACCCCGCCGTTAGCGTGTCAGCGAGTCAGAGCGAGACGACCCCTCCCGCCTCGGCTCTGCCGTGTGGTCGCCTCGCCTGCCCGCCGCCTCGGCTGGCCGGCCGCCTCGCCTCGGCTCGTCGTCCGACTGTGTGCCCCGTGACAGCTCGCCACCTGGGTCGTCCGCCACGACTGTGTAGAGTTCTGTCGGCTGACGACACGCACGTTCCATCCCACGAGTGCAGACACGGGCTAGGTAAAGTGCCAGGACTTGGTCTCGGCGGGCCGGAGCGCGGAGCGTAGGCACGAACGCTCGTAGGAATGGAAAGGTCGTAACCCAGCGATAAGTTTTATAAATATTGTACAATGTCTCATGATTTATGCCAAGATATCCTTATCATATTTTCTTTCACTTTAGTTCACATACTTTTGGGGATGTCTCATTTTACGTTGGTTTCTTTTCCTCAGATGCCGTTAGTGTATTATTGTCTGTTCCTCTTCTGTCGGTCGGTATTCTGTGTGATTTGTGTGACCGGTGGGGACCGGTCAGTGCCGGTGCGCCGTCCCGCTGGCGCCGGGTCGCGGCGGCTCGGTGTCCGGCGGCCGCAGTGAGGAGCGGACGCCGCTCGGCGCCGCCGCCGTCCGCTGACACCGCCCGCCCCGCCCCGTCCGCCAGGTCGGCCTCGCGATCTCGCAGCCGCTCGCGGTCTCCGCGCCGCAGCCGCAGCCGCAGCCGGGACCGGCGCACGCGGTCTCGCAGCCGCAGCAAGGACCGCTCCAGGAGCCGGGACAGGTCCAGGTACGTGGACTAGCGCCATGCGCTCCGGAGATATCAGGGATTCGCTAGCTTCGGTGCTACCCGTGTTTTGTACCGACTAATATTGGATATTTTTGGCCGCAGTTTCCTCTCTGGCCTCGCGTCTGAAGTGCTATGTCCGGTAACCTGCTGACCTTCCGCCCGTTCCGTTTCAGGTCTCGCTCCCGTTCTCGCGGCCGCGGCGGTCGGTCCCGCTCCCCGTCCGCCAACGGACGTGCCTAGCCGGTCTCCCCGCGGCCCCTGCCCCTCCCCCAGTGTACCCTCCTCCCCTCCCCCTCACCCGGCCCCGGTGTCGGCCCGCGCCGGCCGGCCAAGACATGGACGGATACTGCTCGCGACATACGCGCTTCGCTTCGCTGTCTGCCAGCCGCGCTGTAGATACTTCAGCTGGTGTCTTGTATCGGTGTAACTCGGCATCGCGGTACGTTCTAGCTCAGCGGGCAGTCCGGTCTCAATAAATGTCGTCTCATACCGTCTTCGTCGGTGTTTGATGTGAATACGGGTGATGAAAGACGTCACTGAAGAGTAAATGAACTCAAGCGGGAAGATCCACTCATTGGTAATTGATCTGTAGACAAAAGTTGAGCCGCCTTGGGCTGCCATCGGAAGGCTCGACGCATCATATTTTGCGATGATACAAGCGGCACTTTGCAACGCCAACAACTGGCTGAAAAAAATTAACAATATTACTCGCATGTCACCCAGACAATTTCAGATGCCGGTAAGACCGCCATTCGATATATTACGGGGTGAATCTATCCATATGAGTCAAAGGTGTGTACTTCATCCATCGAATGATGAATCAACATGAACCATATTCAGCGACGTTAAGAACGATGTGGGGATACGCCACACATCCCGGTCTAACATGACATCACAAATTCGCATGGGCAAATAAGACACTATCAAATGCTCATTTCAATGAACAGTCAACACACAGTCATATAATCGCAGCGTCGCATATCGCTCGTCCAGTATCCGTTATCCTGTCCATTCCCAGTTCGCTCAACTCTGTTTGAACTTCATACATCAGCACACACGCAGTACGCACACATGGAGGCTACAAACACGACGGCTTTAGAAACTCACAGCTGTCCAAATCGGCACCAGTCAGGCCGGTCACTACCCCGTCGGACACACACAATACACATTACACTCACAAACCATCGGACACACCGCGCCGGTCAGCGGTCGGTCTCAGTCACTCTCACTGTCCGAGTACGCTCCGAGCAGTCCCAGGCCTGTCACCGCCGCTCCACTGGTGGCGGCTGACCCGTTCTGCGCCGTGCCCTTTGTAACCACCGCCGTAACCGGGGCTGTGCTGCCGCTGCCTCCGGCGCCGGCCCCGTTTGGTTTAGCGTCTCTCTGCACTGCCGCCGGGACTGAACTACCGCTACCCCCGGCGCCGGCCCCGTTTGTCGCCGCAGACCGGCCAGCGGGCCGCACCAGCAGGGCCGGCTTCTTAGCACCGCCCAGAGTACCGAGACTGCGCTCCCAGGACTTCTTCTCAGAGGGAACCTCCGGCTTCTGAAAACACGGAATAATTAGACGGGGGTATCGACAATGGAAACAACCATACCACAGATGTTATTTAATAGTGTTGTGTAATTCGTGTTGTTGATAGTGTGTGCTGATAAATTATTAGTTGCTTAGTGTTGATAAATTCATAAACAAGGCTCTGAGTAAATTGACCAGGGTCCCAAATGTAGCGAGAAACGGCCTTTCAACCAAATGCAGCGAGAATCTGTGACTTATCACAGTACATTCATCGACCAATGTTCATAAATCATAACCAATACGCCTGAGATCCCGGCTGGCACTGCCCCACCTTGGCCGGCGCCAGCAGGTCAGTGGGTTTCTCGGTGGGCGGCGGCACCTTGGCCCGCACCTCCTCGTCACTGTCCGAGTCGTCCCTGACCCGCTTCACGGCGCTGTCCTTGCCCTTTCCGAACACCGAGCTGCCAACACACGGGAGCGCTGCGTGAGCCGCGGCAGCGATACAGACCCTGCGGCGCAGCCTAACCTGCAGGCGCACACTACTAGCGCCATCTATTGGGTAGAATACAAAACGCGGAATGGAATCTAGCCGCATGGTACACTCGGGGGCAGATTGATGTTCTACAACTCTTTATCCACCGGGTTCCTATGGCTCAGCATTGGCAGCAGCCGCCTGGTACCGGTAGACTGTGCCGCTTCACTTACTTGTCAAGCGGCACAGCCTACCCACACCGTATGACACCGGTCTGGGTCGGTGGCTGGAAGGCGATGTGGGCCGCCTGTGACGTCAGCGCAGCGGTGAGGGCCGAGCCCGGAGGCATGGCTCGGGTCGGCGCGGCGCGGCGGCTGGCGAGGGCTGGGGAGTGAGGCGGGGTGGGAGGCTGGGAGCATGGACCATCGCACGGCTGAGCGAGTGTAGTTAACTTTCGCGTCTCAAGGCGGCAATTATTCTACCTGGTCTAACAATTGCGCTAAAGCAGTTGCTAAAATATCCTGTGCCCAAAACAGCGCCTATCACCATACTTGCAATGAGCATTACGACTAGAGGTGGCAAAATGTGGACCCGAGGACCCGGTCCAAAGAACCAGTTTGGACCCATATGGGTCCAGACCGGTTCCTGGAAATTTTCTGACGGGTACAACCGGGTCCTACCATAAACTATACATCTTGCACACTACACATTATTGCAAAATATGAAGTAAATGAAGTGAATGTTTCTTTGCACACAGTAGCTCATGCCATGAGTATTCCCAGTGGGAAATAGGCTGTTTTCCATGATGCAACTAATGATACCTACAAGTAGTTTGTATTAATTGACTTTAGGGGAACGGGTCCAACTGGTTCCGATTCCAACTAAGACCGGGTCCGACTGGTTCCAGAAATGTCCAGCCGGGTCTGGTTCGAGTCTGGTTCCCAAAATCTTCATCTTTTGCCACCTCTGATTACGACACACTTTAACGTGGTATTGGGACAGCCGATAGAATTTACATCACACGTGTTTCGAGTTGCGGAGTTGCATTGTTTATAACAGATAAGTATTAAAGGGACCCTCCCACCTTCAAAAAGTTAATGAATTGGCATGAAAGTGATGTCGCTCGGTTCAGAAAGAGCAAAAACGAATATCTACCAAATTTCATCGAAAAATATTCACCGGTTTTCAAGATATTAGACTTTTACTTTTGTTTACTTTTTGGGATCTCCGCTGTTCCTAGCGACTTTATTTGAAAGTGCGGCATTTGTTGCGCGCAAAGCAGCATATACCACCGCGTGCTACAAAACGTTTTAGTCAAACATTTAACGGACGTTCGAAAGCCTGATGACGTCATCAGATTCCCGTAATGGTTAAGAGATAGGGACCACGCTGGTCCCACCCTGCAAGTAAAAGGAAGAAATTTCTTGAACACCATAAAGCTGCGGGGGTTGCGACCAGGATAAATGGTGGTTTCTGAGCCTGGCCGCAAACTTGGCTATCTCAACTCAAAACTAATGTTAAGGTGGGAGGGTCCCTTTAAGGCCTTGATTGAGCTCATTGGTGTCTATTATTTCGCACAGCAATCATCCAGAGACGTGGGAACTGCGGTTTTTGGACAGCGCGGCAGCCAACGCCCGAACTTTAAGCAAATCTTACTGTTCCTATAATGTGTGATCGCAGCCACCAATAGCAAACCGTTCCAACTAGGAGCAAATAAGTATCGAACCTGGGACGATTCGAACCGGGGTTCTCCAACCCGTCACCCTACGACGCTATAGCGCGCATCCACTGAGCTACCGAGACCAGCGATTACCCGCCGCGGTCAAACGCAATGAAATGTCACAAAACTGTCATTGGCAGTCAGCGGGTGAATGTCATTTTGTTTTCTGCTGCGGAGGACCATTCTCGGTAGCTCAGTGGATGAACGCTCGTATCGTAAGCTGACTGGTGGGGGAAGCCCAGTTCGAACCTTTCTGAGTGCCCGAGTTTTTGGCTCCTGGTTGGAACGGTTTGCTATTGGTGGCTGCGACCACATATTAGAGGAACAGTAATAATCGCTTTAAATTGGGGCGTTAGCTGCCGCACTATACCCATAACCCCTAGTTCCCACGTCTCTAGACGATTGCCGTGCGAAACAGTAGACACCAATCTGCTCAATCAAGGCCTTAATGGGGCATTCCACGATAGATCGACCAAAGCCGTACACCCTTATATTTTATTTTTTGCTTAAAATTGGTCTAATGGGTTTTAATGGGCGGGGAAGCCAGCTGTGCCAAGGATTTTTTTTCTTCGAACACCGGTTTCCGAGATATAGCCTCAGGCAATTCCTGGAGGTTACACTGCAACCCTATGTTTGGCGGCTTATAACTCAGAAACTATTGGTTTTCAATGGTAAAAACTTTATATGGTTTAACTTGCAATCAACCAGCGAACGTTTTGGCTATCTCGGATTTTCGATTTTTGAAAATTTTGATCATGTGACATCTTGATCTTTTTTTTCGAAGAGTGACCTTGATATTTTCCCAACTGAAAGTCGCAATTTTCTCTGATGACGATTAAAGCCTTATCAATTGTCACTCATATGCGACAATAAAAAAAGTGGCTTTCGGCCTGCATTGACCTGAGATCAGGTCATTTTTATGACCTGTCCATATTACGAGCGGGAGCGACAGCGAGATCTCGAGACTAAAGCAAGATAGCGACAAGTGGTAAACGATACAGGATTCACACGGATAAGGTCTACAATTTTTACTGAGGTCATTTTCAGGTCAGGTCAAAGATAACGTCACAGGGGTAAAAAGGAAGTCAAAATAGTTTTGGCTGTACCTTTTGATCTAATAAAGAAAGAGACGTAGAATAGGCACCAATCCGTTTGCTTTCGCCAAGCGCCAGTTTTTTTTTTGAATTTCGATACCGATGACCTGAGGTCAGGTCAATTTCTTGACCACCCCATTATAAGTCAATTGGGAAAAATCAGCTCCCTTATTTTTACACTAAAACGCGTCGGAATTGCCTAATATACCATGAGTGACTCCATATGCGACTAACTTTGACTGCCTTGAGACCTTTTTTGCTCTTGGTCAACTGTGACGTTGCTCTTGGGTCATGTGACGTCATTAAAGGTCACCAAATGTTTTTTGCTAATAACTCCTTACAGGTTTGAGATACAGCCGCGCGGATAGGCTCATTGTGTTCAGCTCGTCAAGGCCCATCGAATGATATAGGTATATGATGACCTTAAGGTCACGTGACCTAAGGTCAACTTTTGACCTTGACCTTTCGAGGTCAACATACACATGTTTCGATGCGGATCGACGAGAGGATCACGATGGTGCTATTAGTTTGTTCCTAGCTGGGATACTTCGAAAGTTATTCGAGAAAAACATCATATATATGTAGTGCCAACATTTAGACTTTCTTTTTACCCCTGTGACGTCATCTTTGACCTGACCTGAAAATGACTTGAGTAAAAATTGTAGACCTTATCCATGTGCACCCTGTGCCGTTTACCGCTTGTCGCTATCTTGCTTTGTTCTCGAGATCTCGCTGTCGCTCCCGCTCGTAATAATGGGAAGGTCATAAAAATGACCTGACCTGAGGTCAACGCAGGCCGAAAGCCACTTTTTTATTATCGCATATGAATGACAATTGATAAGGCTTTAATCGTCATCAGACAAAATTACGACTTTCAGTTGGGAAAATATCAAGGTCACTCTTCGAAAAAAAGGTCAAGATGTCACGTGATCAAAATTCTCAAAATTCGGAAATCCGAGATAGCCAAAACGTTTGTTGGTTGATTGCGAGTTGAACCATATCAAGTTTTTACCATAGAAAACCAATAGTTTCTGAGTTATAAGCCGCCAAACATAGGGTTGCAGCGTGACCTCCAGGAACTGCCCGAGGCTATATCTCGGAAACCGTTGTTCGAAGAAAAAAAATCCTTGCCACAGCTGGGTTCCCCGCCCATCACAACCCATTAGACCAATTTTAAGCAAAAAATAAAATATGCGGGTGTAAATTTTAAGTTTTTTTGGTCGATCTATCGTGGAATGCCCCTAATACTAACATGCAATATAAAATATAGCTCCGCACCTCGATGCACGTGTGACATAATTTCTATCGGCTGTCCCATTGCCACGCTTAAGTGCTTCGTAATACGCATAGCAAGTAAATGATAGGCGCTGCCTAGGGCATAGGGCCTTTTAACAACTGCTTTAGCGCAATTGTTAGGTAGAATAATTGCCGCCTTGAGACGCGAAAGCTAACTACACTTGCTCAGCCGCGCGATGGACCATGCTCCCACCCTCCCACCCCACCTCACTCTCCAGCCCTCGCCAGCCGCCGCGCCGCGCCGACCCGAGCCATGCCTCCGGGCTCGGCCCTCACCGCTGCGCTGACGTCACAGGCGGCCCACAACGCCTTCCAGCCACCGACCCAGACCGGTGGCATACGGTATGGGTAGGCTGTGCCGCTTGACAAGTAAGTGAAGCGGCACAGTCTACCGGTCTCTAGCTGCGCGACTCTAGCTGCAAAGATGAGCGGCGATTCTGGTACTTTTATTTCCAATAACGAATGCTTCGTGTTTTAGCGTAACTATAGCGTTGCCCAAAGGGCAATGTTAAATATTCCAGAGGCGACATGACTGCCTAGTGCCTATAGTAAACACCCGCATTAGCTCGGTATAGAAATGAGCGTAGCAAGCTTCATCATGAACAATGTAACACCCATCTAGACAGATATAAGACATAGTATGCAATATGTATGCAAAAAGATATCTGCCGCTGCATGATGCCCCCGGGTCTGACCGTATGTACTCCTCGTCCTCCTGCTCCTGGCGCTGTTCCTCGGCCTCCTGCTGCCGGCTGTACCGCTGTAGCATGCTGTCGTAGTCGACGTGCGCCTGCCGCTGGTTAAGGTCCTTCAGCTCCTCCAGCTTCTCAATCATGTCCATCTCGTGGCGGGACTGCTTGGTACGGTTCTCCAGCATCTGAGGGAGACGGGTCGCACAGGCCATTCAGCGGGGATGGCGCGGTGTGTATTGGCACCGAACACATATACTTTAACACATGCATGCAAACACAACGGGCTGGCAATTTTTGAGTGCCCTGCCGGCGACGATACGGAATTTTGAACCATTTTTGTCATTCTCTACAAAAGAAATGCAGACCATAACAGCCGATGTTTCTTCCCCTTCCTCCGTCAATTCTCAGTCACACCCCCCCCCCCTCCCTCCCCGCCGGTGACTGGCCTTCATGGGGTTGGACTTTTCCTCTTCCTCCGCCTGTTCGGCCTCCCTCTTGGCCTGCCGCTCGGCCAGGATCTGCGCCTGGAAGTTGCGCGTGGCGCCCGCCTCAATAATATAGTCGGTATTCTCGGGGTCCGTCTTGAACACGATCTCGGCCATGCACATGGGACACTTGATGTAGAAGCGGTAAATGCGCAGGCCGAGGTAGTTCTCGTCGTCCACATCCTCCTTCCTAGCGTTGAACTTCTTGGCCTTGGCGATGTATTCGCCGCAGGTGTTGCACCTGTAGAGTTACGATGGGTTATGCTGGGTTACGACGGGTTACATGTGTTATAACGAGATCGGTAAAGTAAACTGACTAAAACGTGGGGGGTCGATGACATCAACTAAATTTGGTATGTGGTTACAATAAACTGTCAAAAGTACCTATTCACACGTCGCACCCAACTGAAGGTAGGAACCCCACTAGCCACCATTGCGAAACTAAATAAAAGTGAAATAAATAAATGGGTAGATTTGGGTTAGACCAACTATTTCATCGCCCATCAATGACATTGCCCATCAATGACATTGCGACAAAACTCGTGTCTCAGAGTCGTCGAACATTCTCCTGGCCAAAAGCACCACTTGTCCTTATCTCAGACATTAACTATGCACAAAGCATGAATCGTTTATACTTACTTCATGTTGCACGGCGCCATGAGTCGAACTGAGAATGTCTTGTTTCTGGCGACTTTGCTCCGGGGAATGTTATTTGGATCAAAGTCGGGAGGGTAATATTTCTGCAAAAATAGTACATTGTGATTAAAATGCGATTTGACATGCAAAACAAAATGATGAGCATAGATGAGCTGAGAACAGCATACAAATGAAGAGTTGATCAGCCATACAGAACACAATAAGAGGCATAGCACATTTGCTCAACCGCAACTACGGAATGGACCCGTAGTACCATCAGTGGACTTCAGTTTAGGCCTAGCCGATACCACGACTCAAGAGCAAGAACAGAGAGCTTGCGGCTAACATATCAGACTTTGTGATCATGACTGAACTAAATAACCTGGTGGCTGAGCACCGAACCCAAAACATAGAAAGGAGGAACAAGCAATAAAAAGAAATAGAATAGAATAGGTACTAACATTGAGAACTTTTCGTTCAGACATCTTGGCGTCCTGGGTTTAGGCGTTTATGAATTGTATCTTCTGCACTGAATCAGAATATGCCACCTGAAAAGGAAATTGAGGCATTATTTAGTATTTACACCAAGCCAGGTTCTTCTTCATCATTAGCCATATAGTTAATTCATCAGCATATTGGTTGACTGTGTAAGGCGCCGGCGAGGACCAGGCAGCGGAGCAGCACATGCTCCAGCACATCAGCCTCTCGCGGGCACCGCTTGTCTGGGCACTGCTGGCACGCCGCAGAAGGGAGACAGCCGATTCGGTGCACATACTGGAGCGAGCGACCCCCGTGGCCCGCCCTCATCTGGTGCACCGAAACGGCGTCCTCTCGTTCTCTCCGGGGATGGGGAGCGGCAAAGTGCTCTAGAAGAGTGGCTTGAATAGTGTCTCAGACCACTTTTGTCGCGCTATATTGACGCCAGGCCGCCCAATGAACCGTAGGGGATAGGGGATGGATAGGCGGTTCTGACGTCACGGCTGCGTGCGGTGGACGGTCCGCTGTGGCCAATCCCGACCGGCCAGAGCGGTCGCTGTGTGCGGTGATGGAAGGCTGACGTAGGGACGCAGTGGGCGGAGCTCAGAGGCTGTGTACAGTCCGACCGCACACAGGGCCCGTGAACAGCCCTAGGATTACTTCACGACACCCAAAGATGTGTGTCGCCCGGGTGTTGCCGGGCTTCTTAAATCTTTAAGATTTAAGGCTTCTTAAATCTTAAATCTATCTCATTCTCCCTGCCGAGGGTGGACGCCTCACCTGGGCGGCCGCTCCTCCGCTGAGTAGACTCAGGGCAGCTCGCGATTCGGAGCACGCGACGACCGGGGCGAGGGAAGTCTCCTCCCGAACCCTCTCCAGAACCGCCCGAAGGGTGAGGCTGCTGCTAGATTGGCCAGCGTGCCAAAAAATTCAGTGATCGCCATTCGCCGAAAAATTCCGCGACCGCCCTGAGCCGAAAAATTCAGAGGCAGACATGTGCTGAATTTGGCGCATGTGATATTACTCCAGACATGCCTTGAATTTTTGAAGCAATCCTGCCATTATGCCACACATATTCAGCATGGCATGTATGTATTTTTCCAGTCTGTGTCTCCACTGGTACCATCTTGAAGAAGGAGCTCAGTTACTTACTGGCTGCCATCTCAAAGAAGCTGTGAGGGTCTATGTCAAGTCCACCTTGTAGCAGCTGATAAGCCATGATCATATCACCGCGCCTCCAATTGTAGTATGGCCTTGGCAGCTGCAGTGCTGTCACTCTCAGTACGGGACTGGGAGGTGTCATAGATCCAGAACTGGCTTGGTCCTCGCCTCAACTGCTCTACCCGCCGCTGGTCTGCCGTCTGCCTGACTGAAGGTGTCCCACACTAGGGTCCTGTATTGGTGAGGGTGGTCCGTAGGGGTCAAAGAGGGCCTTACTCACAACTGGATAAAATCAACTGCCAGTTCACTCAACCAGGTGAGTGAGCTGGCTGGTCAGCTGGCGACGTACGATAGCTATGCTACTTAATGATATAAACACAATAGGAAATGGACATGAATACTTAAAATGGTACATACTCAAAGAAAAATTAGAAGATAGATATTTAGTAATTTGTATCTGGCATTGAGATATAACAAGCTCTGCTGGCGCCACCATATTGATATGGCGCCAGCTGGCAATTTGTCCAGAAAATAGTACGGCCTGTCAAAGGGAAGGTGCCGTGCCGGTGGGAATGGACCTATATATTGGGGTTTATATAGCCTTGGGTTGGACAAGGGCCTCGAAGAGCAGAGGGAGGGTTGACCTATTGAGCAGGTTGAATTACAGCAAATCCCAGGCTTTACGAGGCCACAGCACAAAGTTGAAAAATTAAACACAAGGGCAGTGAAAATAAGGTTGATAATCATAATGGAGCCTTGCAAAAATAAAAAAGCTTACAGATTTGAGAATTGAGACGCACAACGGCAAATTGGTTTATACTTAAACCTTGGGCAGATTGGTTCACATAGCCTTGGAGAAATACAGGGCGGCGAATTAATAGAATGCAAAAAATAATTAGTTGAATTCAATACCGCAAATTAGGATGAAATAACGGAAATAATCATTGCATACCAATAACACAATTGTGTGTTGTGTTGTGTCGCGTTGTTCAATGCTCAGGTCAACGCAAAACAAAATAAAACAAAATAATATGGAAGCATGGAGTGAGAATAACAAATTTGATGACGTCAGGGTAAAACTTTTCAAAAGAGAGTTTCTTCAAAGCTATATTTCAGATTTACTCACAGAAATTAAGACTTTACTTAGCACAATAACATATTATTGTATTTCGGTGCATGCTGAGCTAAAAATGCGAACTATTTGACTTCTAAAGGTTTCAGTTGGACCTCAGAAAACCTTTTCTTTTCTTATTTGGCAGCAAACAAAGAATACAAAAACTGCGCAACTGATTCAGATTCTGAACTGGGGGTTGCACGCACACGTGTTTTCTCATTATTGTTGTCTCAGCTTGCAACTGAATTACAGCACGCCGATAAATTTGATACAATTACTTGCATTTAACTTTGACGAACTCTGCCTGGATTTTTTTAAATGACTGTCACACAGAAAGTCAGCAAGAAGTCGAAGTCAAAGAAGCATTTGGTTGACAAGAATGACAGTCAAATGTCACCTAAGAAGCTGAAGAAGGTTAAGGCAAAAGGTGATAAAATTTTGTGCTTTTGCATTAATTTGTTTGAGAGTTTTATAGTGTTCCATGTAGTCATTCATTAAAACAGTAGATCCCATTATATAAGCTACAGTATACCTACAGTTGCCAGAACTCGTAGTGGATCTGGCATAAATCAGTCGGGCGCACTGTGGTATCTCCGATTCATTTATGGAGACGTTTCTATTATTGGAAACGTTTCCAATTTTGACTACTCTTCTGTTCCAAAAATGGAAACGCTCGTTCCATAAATAGAAACGCTAACATCTCCGCACATATTTTCTTGTCAAGGGTGGCTGGATTTGATGTACAACCACTGTTTCGCATAAAACAAGCACAGATACACCAAAAGCACTTGTCTTCTCGCATGGAAAGCTGTCGTATGCATTCAAATTCACCACTTTAAAATGCTCCTGAATCGTATCCATTTATGGAGACTTAGTTTCCAAAAATGGAAACGCCGATGTTCCAAAAATAGAAACGCTGAAGTTCAAATGTGTGCAAACTTAGCTTAGATGTGTTTTTAAAATTCACATGCAACTACAAATTTGATGTTTTGGGACTGGTTTAGCATCTCGGCTCTCGGCAGTTACCTTGGACGTCAGGTTCGATAAAAATACATTACGCGCCACAACTTAAGCACGTTCAAAAGTCAACTAAAACTAAGATTTCCCAGAAACTACTGGACAAATGTGGTCCAAAGTGGGCAATACATAAAGCGCAGATATCATTTCAATATATAAAATTGATATCAATGTTACACATGAGCTAGAATGAATAAATTCATCGTCAGAATACAACGGTATTTGGTGTGACGACGGTGCAGACCTTATTTCCATCCTGCTTTTTACGTATTTGCACGGAGATTCACGTTGATCCGAGCCTACGATCATATTCAGCACATTTGAAATATCATTAAATGCCCACTAAAGTCTCCAAATAGGGCTTTGCAACAACTTTCATGTGATTTACAATCACAGATTGACGACCACCAGGCCGCTGGTACACCGGAAAATGCAGCGTGAAAATGAATGAAAAACTGAAGTTCCCGGTGATGTTGTTGTTCCAATCAATGGGCCAGTCTTTCAGTAGTCTGTTAAAAACGTTATTTTTTGTTCAAAACATTCATAAATGTTATTATTTTCGATTAGAAAAACGTGTGAATTTTTTATCACGTCAACATGTTATAAGCATCGCCTCGTTCGTCAACTTCCGGTTTTCTGATCGGAAAGTCGGAGAACAGGAACATAAACTAGAATGCTGGCCGTCGATTGGTGGCATCCTGCGCATGCCAAATTGCACCAATCAATGCCCAGTTTGCTTTAAAGGTAGCGATGCACACAGCGTCTCCATTTATGGAACAGACCGTTTCTATTTTTGGAAACGGCGTATCCATTTTTGGAACATCGTTCCAAAAATGGAAACGTTTCCATAAATGGATCGGAAATACCACAGTGTGCCCGACTGAAATTGAAAAATGTTTGTTTGCTATATTATCACCATGCCTTTTTGCAATCTCCCATTAATATGATCCCTATGCTTGGCCTATAGCTTAACCCTGTGTTATATCAGTACATCTGATTTTATTGACATGTGTGTGGTGATGCTTCTCATTTATTGTAATTTGTAATTCTATATTTTCATGTGTACTTTTGTATTTCCCTTTTTGCAAAATGCTCTGAGATCTTCCCACCATCTGATGAAGTTTTTTTTTCCAGACACAAATGTGGAAGTGAGTACAAGTAAACATATTAAAGAGAAACCCAAACCAGGTCCTTCTAAGAATGCAAGTCCTGGTGGAAACAAGAACAAAAGGAAAAGTATTGATGAAAGTGGTAAGAATCTACATGGCTATTGTGCTAGTTTGATTTTGGCAAAACAGAGTTATGAAATATATTTCATGTTATATGTCCAATATCATATTTTATGGCAAATGCATTTCATTGCCACAGGTCATTGACACCCATTTACTAACATGTCACATTTGGAGGACAGATAGGTTTACAAATTGTTCAATACATATGTGTAGATATTTGGATATATGAACATGTAGATCAGTGACATGTGTGTGTGTGTGTGTTATATCCCTTAGTGTAGAGAAACACTAGCCCAGCATTAATATACTCAAGTTGAGCATAGAGTTATCCCTCTGACATTACTGTTAATTTTCTTCATAATAACATTTTAAATTTTATGACTTGAATTTGTTGTGATATTGATTTGGAAGGTCAGGTGGCAAATAATCGTTAGTGTATAGTGTTTATTGTCATAAGATTGAACTTGAAACCTATTAAAAAAATTGACATTACAATCAGTGGTGTGTGTAACCATATGGGGCAAGCACATTAATGGGCAATGTAGTATGTACCACTGTGTGCTAGTGTTGTAAAATATTATCATTGCCTTACATGTTTTATCTGTCCCTTTTTCTGAAGGAGACAAGTCCCCAAAGAAACGCAAGCACAAGGATGGAAGTGAGCCTCGCCCTGCAAAGATTCAGCATCAGGATGGTGCCCCGAACTGGAAACAAGTTCGAGCTGATGCTGCTGACATTAAAAACCGTAGGAAGGCCCAAAACAAAATGTTTGAAGTCGGAAAACACATGAAAAAGCTCTGGGAAGAGGTAAGTTTGGAGTATGTAAACTATCTACCTCTAGCAGCTTAGAGCTACCAACTACTTTAATTTTAGTCAGTATTGGTTGTGTTTGATTTGACTTGGTGTAGGCGAATCCTGTGCTGTGACTCCTCCCCTCGACGCCGGCAGATGCGCATGGAGAAGTGCACGGAGGATCGTCGCCGGCAGCTGGTGACGGAGGTGACGGGTCTGGTGCGCGGCAAAGTGCCGCAGCTGGTGCGCGCGCACGACCGGGCGCGTGTCTGCGAGAGTTTGTTCCAGTACGGCACGGCCGAGACGCGAGCGCTGCTGTTCGAGGAGGTGCGCCAACAGCTGGCCGAGCTGAGCCGCGACAAGTACGCGCGCCACTTTGTGCTGAAGATGCTCTCACAGGGCAGCAAGGAGCAGAAGGAGGCGGTCGGCGCGTCTTTCACGGGTCGCGTCACGGCGCTCATGGGACACAAGGTCAGTCGATGATGGGGGCTAGGATTGACCAGTCTCGGCTGGGCTCGACCTCAGTCCCCTCGGCCATCGAAGGTGCGTTAGCTCTTTGGGGGATGGAAGGCGGAAGACAAACAATATAAAATTGTAACTTGCGTTTTAACCCCACATGAGCCCGGTGACCTCGCAGATTAGCAGCGTTGGTCCTCTGTCGCCTTTTCGCTCTTTGTCTCACCGTCAAGACGCTGTTGCTACTAGAGATCTCAATCGGATACCAACTTTTTGGTATACCGATACCAAACCGATACCAACTTGGTATGTGGTATTTCATGGCGAATGTATTTGGTATTTTGTTGGTATTATGAATCCTTACTAATGTAAAAGAGGCTGAGAGTTCGGTAAACAGTTGGCATTTCCCTCATATTCCCAAGTCGGTTCGGTTTCGGTATTTCCCCATTGGTTTTGTTAGTATTTGGTTTGGTATCGGTTTCACGATTTTCCGTAATTGACATCACTAGTTGCTACGCTGCTCTGTGACACCGACCCTCTGTCACTCTATAACGCCGCTCCTCCGTATGTGACGCCTCCCTTCTGTCTCACAGTTCGGTAACGAGGTGGTCGAAGCCTACTTCCGCGACTGCGCCTCGGCGGACGCCCAGCAGCGAATGCTGATGGAGTTTTACGGCACCGAGTTCCTGCTGCGTTCTACCGAGACACGCTCCCTGGAGGCGCTCTGCACCCAGCAGCCCGAGAAGAAGGCCATCTACCTGACCAACGTCCGCAGCCAGCTGCAGTCGCTGCTCGACAAGTCAGTGATCACGGTGGCGGCTGGTCACTGGGGTGCACGGAATCAGGAACGATGGCATTTATGACTTTTTTACTGGACCATCCCTAGGATATCGGGCTTTTCCGCCTCGGATGGTCGCTGGACGTGCCTTTTAATCCGCGAGGAAACTAGTAAATAATTATCGACAGAAACGGATTATGAGCAAGGGAGATCGCTGGAACTTCTCTAAACGGACTGGTATGTTTTCGTTCCGGGCTCTCAACAGACGTACGATGCTATCAGTGCCTGTCTGTTACCTCCACTAAGGCAGCTTTGTCTCTGTACCCCTACAGGCAGCTACTGACGGGCAGTCTGGCGCACCGACTGCTGCGCGAGTACCTCAGCCTGTGCTCGCAGTCGGACCGGGCCGACGTGATCGAGTCGCTGCGGGACGCCGTCGTACAGATGCTGCACACCAAGGACGGCGCCCGCGTCGGACTCATGTGCCTCTGGTGGGGCACCACCAAGGTAACCGGCGAAGGCGGCCGCGGGGATGCGTTGATGTCTTAACGTTCCAGTTCAAACGGGAGGTTATTTAGTCTTCTACACTATATTGTATGCTCATTGCTCTTTCGTGACTTGAGTCATGAAATTTACATATGTATTCATCTGTTATGTTGCGGTGTATTTAACTTTTTTTTTTTAAATCACTAGTAAGATACGGTTTATGAGGGTCTGGTGCGCTATCTGGTTTCAGTTACGTCGATTTCGTTTGTTCTCGCATCATAACGCGTTCACAGCTCGATAACCATTCATCCCCTGTCTGCTTCTCCAGGATCGTAAGGCGATTGTTAAGTCGATGAAGACGTACGTGCAAAAGGTGTGCGTGGACGAGCACGGCTTCATGGTGATGCTGGCGCTCCTGGACGTAGTGGACGACACCAGGCTTGTCAAAAAGGTGGGTGCGCATGGTGCCGAGTCTCTGACGGTACGGCTGACGGTTGTCAATATATGATGCCGTTTCGGCTTATATGGATGTGAGTTGTCGACGAACTAGCGATGACCTTGCTACCCTTCTTTCCTTCTTCAAAATGTTCGATGACATGCAGCTGCTCTGAAAATGGGCTAGATGTAAGACGCTCGCTGATTTCTCTAAAACGTTTTTCGGTGTCGTCCCGTCATCTATGAATTTGAAGCTTTATCTCCGTGTTGACTGCCGTCCTCTGCTCATACTGCAGGCGCTGTTGGAGGAGATGATGGCCAACATCGCCGACATCGTGCCCAGTGAGCACGGCAGGAAGGTGCTGCACTACCTGCTCTCCCCGCGGGACACTGTCTACTTCCACCCGACCCTGGTGGCCACGCTGGCAGAGGGAGACGGAAACCCCACCAGGTTAGTGTAATGCAGCGCGACACTCTAACGCGTTTGATCTGTGTTGACTGATGGAGGCGTGCGGACTACACATTTGATGAAACGAATGTATCTTTCATTGAAACTGCAGTTTGAAAAGCTGATCGGAATATATATTTTTACCATATTTTTCCTATGATTTATCTTGTGGTGTAACTTTCATGCGGCCTGCCTCCTATTTCATACATGTGCGGCTGTAACGCTGCTTCGTCGCAGCCCGTCTCGCTGCTCGTGTGATCTGACCCTTCCCCCGCGTCCCGTCTCTCGCAGTAAGAAGGAGCCGGCCGTGCGGCGCCGGGAGCTGCTGGAGGCCGTGTCAGAGGCCATGCTGAAGACGGCCAGCATCCACTGCCTCGAGTGGATGGTCGACAGCAGCCTCTGCGTGCTGCTCGCGCACATCCTCTGCAAGTGCTCCGGTGGGTGAAACCCGGGTCTGCGTGTATTCCGGGGATTGCGTACGTTTATTTGTTGTTTTTTTTTGTGATTTTGTCGCTCCACCGTCATTGGCCTTCCAATGCTGGTAGTCTGGTGTCGGATTATTAATGCTCTTGAAACTTTTACATGCCGCGTTTAAAGGAGTCGATTTCGAACAGTTGCATAACTAAAAAATTGGTATGGGGTCCTTCCTGATCCTAACGATCTGAATTAGTATTGCGCTATGTTCCTCATTCCTATAGTTTTGCTGCCAGTTTTAATCTTTTTTTTTTTAGTTTCTCTCCCTCGGGAGGCAGCAGGCTGCTTTTGCTGATCTGCTAGTGGTAGGCGACTGCACCATTTGATGCCAGTACTGACCACTGTCCGTCCCCTCCCCTCGCCAGGCGACTCTATGCACCTGCCGCTGACGCAGCTGGCGCGCCGCACTGCCGAGCCCGTCACCTCCACGTCGGACCCGCACCTGGTCAACAACTCCGCCGCCTACATGCAGCTCAAGAAGCTGCTGCAGGCCGACAAACAGCGAGCCGCCGACGGAGGCACGGGTGAGGGCTCCTCCCCAACTTCTTCCCTTGCGCCTGAGGACACTACCGGCCCACCAGGACCGGGCGATGTTGTGTGAAATTTGCGAGATGTGACGGGCGAGAGGTCAAGGCTAGATTAGCATTGTAATCAGAGGCCAAAATGTCCAGCCTAGCTAGGTTAGGTAGAATCGGAAAGTTCTTTTCGACTAATGTAACCTACGGGTGTAATTTGTTTTGAAGCAGCTTCTAACGCAAACCTTTAGCTGCTTGGAGGAAGTTTTTTCTCTTTTTCGATTGGGTGCAAGAGGCGTGATGTTTTGACCTTTATGACGTTTTCGTGATTCTTTCCAGTTTTATTCTCGAACCTGATTCTGAAGGAGCTGTCTGAAGAGGCTGTCCTCTCGTGGATCGCCAGCAACCGCACTGCGTTCCTGCTTGTCATGTAAGTCCTTCATTCGTTTTATATTACCTGTGCGCGCTGCGCGATAATCTGACGAACTAACTAATGCACAGCGGATGTTCGTTTATTATAAGTCGATTCCTAGTTATAAAGTGGAGTTTGCCGCGATGCTAGGTGTCGTCGACAGCGCCAAGAGTGCAGTGTAAGACACATCAAACACCGACTGGCCATCATAAATTACTTTTATTGCGCCCGTCCTCTTTCGATTTTTCATGGCCGTTTCATTTTCAACCTTTTTTTCGTTGGAATTTCTTGGTTTGTCTGCCAACATGACTGATATTCATTACGTGCTACAGATAAACAAGGCATGTGCTTCCGTAAATATTAGTGATATTTTTTAACATCAGTGAACGATTTAGCTGCGCGCTACGCTTCGTTTGACCGAACTGTTTCCCCACCCCTGCAGTATGCTGGAGACCGAGGTACCGGCCATCGTGGAAAAGGTCGTCCAGCTGCTCCAGCCGCACATCAAGAAGCTGAAGCCCGCCTGCAAGGGCGCCGAGATCCTCAAGAAGAAGGTGTCGGCGGCTGCTAAGCAGCAGAAGGCCGCCGATTCCGGGGGTGACTAGCCCCTCGCCGCGCTGGGGAGGGGCGGGCGGCGGTGGGGAGGGGCGGTACCATCGCGCGTGGCTGATTGTTTGTGTAATACATTGTTGACGGGACGAAGTCTGTGGTTGGGTGGATGGGTCGTCAGCTGTGGTCGGCACAGCGGCACAGTAGGGCATGACGTTTTGGTGACCTAGCCCGTATGGATGTGTGGGAATGGTTCTCCAGGCCATGAGGCATGGCGCGTTGTTTGATTGATACATCTTGCATGACACCCGGGTGCCGGGTAAGCCAATGTCGGGTACCCGCCGCGCGTCAGCCGTCTCGACGTCTGTCGGCGCTTGACGGCGTGTGGTCACGTGTGCCGTGAGCTAACACATATGCTGTATTCTGGCCGGTGACGTTTCTAAATATATAAAGTTTTCAACATACTAATATGTTTAAGTACGCTACTGCACGCTCTCTGATCACCAATTAACTTGATTGTTGAGCTTACCTATCCGATAGATCTACATTAGTGGGATGCTGGCAGGTAGCGCTATCGCATCCACCTCGCCCCTACTGGATTTACGCAAACACATCGGCCAGTGAATAGACTGTAAACAATCGTATAATAACTAAGCGGTATCGTGTATAAAGTAACCAGCTCTGAACATGAACATTAAACCAGGCCAATCACTCACTCTTCTCCTGATAGCCCTCACCGCAGCAGCCTACAATGTGCCGCCTCGTATATGAACCTCGACCGCAATAACTAAAATAACAAGGACGAATGAAGTGACAAGGCACCCATCGAGCATGACTTGTGTTACACTACCATAGCGACCTCGGCTATTCTAAACAAGATCAATGTCCAGACGCCCGGTGCGTTCCGGGTGTAATCGCAGAGTCAGTGTCGCACACGCCGTGTCGGGGGACACGTCTCCGCTGGAGCGTCTCTTACCGTCTCGGCTGGCACGCGATAGAGCTGAGATCCGTCTGGGACTGGTTAGACGAAGCCGACGGACTACCGCTGGGTGACCCGTGGAGCCGCGCTGCACCAAACCCAGCCTCGTCTCGGGGGCTGTACGGTACAGAGGACGGCGTTGTGTATAAACAATACTGTTGGACGTGTGGCGGCGGCTGGTGGTGAGCGCTGTAACTGAAGTGCCGCGGTAGTGCTCTATAACTATTTCCAGGAGTACAGATCTGAAGCAAGATACGGCATGTCCTGATCTACAACCGTCTGCCGTCTGGACGAATATTGCGTCTCGCACGCCGTGTAGTCATACGGTGCCGCCGGGTGTGACGTTTCCAGTGTAACAAAGTGGTCCGTGTTTAGTATCTTTGATCGACTTCGGGATAGTCTTCAGCGCATTCTGGAACGTCGCTAGTGCAGTGAGTCTTCTCTGCTTCTGCTACAACTATATTAGGAGTCTCCAGCACCATCGGCCGACCCTGTGACGACTGCGTAGTCTCCCGCCTTCCGTCATGTGGACGGCGGAGGCGTGGCACGACTTCGCCGCCGGCTGGGCGGGCGGCTCTCTGGGCATCCTATGCGGCCACCCGCTGGACACCATCAAGGTGCGCCAGCAGGCGCTGCTGGTGTCCCCGCTCCGCTGCCTGACCGCCACACTCCGCCACGAGGGCGCGCGCGGTCTCTTCAAGGGTCTGGCCTTCCCGCTGGTGTCGGCAGGAGCCGTCAACTCGGTCTTCTTCGGCGTCTACTACAACTGCCTGCGGCACCTGAACAGCGGCGGCGGCGGCGGGGGAGCGGAGGCGCCGCTGCGGCACGTGGCTGCCGCCGGCGCGCTCGGCGGCCTGGCGCAGCTCGCCGTGGCCGTGCCCGTCGACCTGGTCAAGATCCAGCTGCAGACGCGGACGGGCGCCAGCGGCGGCTGGGTGCGGCACTACCAGACGCCGGCGGCCGGGCCGCTGGCCTGTCTGGCGGCGCTGTACCGGGCCGGCGGCGCGGCCGCCTGGTACCGCGGCTTCGGCGTCCAGCTGCTCAGAGACGTGCCCGCCAGCGCCGCCTACTTTGTGCTGTACGAGGCGGGCGTGCGGTGGGCGCGGAGCCACCAGGTGCCGTCGGCCGCCGCCGTGCTGGTCGCCGGCGGCGCGGCCGGCGTGCTCTCCTGGTCGCTGATTCTGCCATTGGACGTGGTCAAGAGCCGGATCCAGGCGGACAGTCCCGAGCGGCCGCAGTTCCGCGGCGTGGTGCACTGCGCGCGAGAGACGGTCATCCGCGACGGGCCGGCCGCCCTCTTCAGGGGCTTCACCACCATGGCCACGCGAGGTTTTGTCGTGAACGCGGCCACATTCTTTGGATATGAGTATTTCATGGTAGGGATTAAATTAGTGGCATAGACTTATTACACAGATAGCGATGCGACTCAGGGGGATGGCTGTTGAGAAATGAGGGCTGATTGAGGATAGGATTATCGATACGACTCAGGATGGTACGTTGGAAATATTGTGCAATGAATGACCATATTTTATGACATACCTGCGGGGCCGGGACCTGCTGACTGATGTGGATTACTTGGATTCGGCGTAGACGTGACTTGCGAGGGGGTCTATAGCGGTGTGCAAGGTTCACCAGGTTGCTGCTGGCCCGCTACGATGACATTACGCCACACCTCGAACACCGCTTGACTAGCTCGACTTAATTTGCCATATTTACTAAATACATATAGTATACGAGTAGGCAATTTACGCCCTAGTGAATCTGGACTTTTAAAATAGGAAAATCTACTAACGCTGTCCGACTCGCTGGTTCGTATGGTCACGGAGAATGGAGGCAACACTGACGCAAACGGCCCACTCGGTATCAGCAGACTTCTCATACCCCGTAATCGGCAGTGAAACTGGGCGCCGATTCTTCTCGATGGTAGGTACTACTCAGTACTCCTACTTCGCACCCGTGCGACCTCTATCCTCTCGACTCCGCTCTCGTCCATTGCGCGTGAGCAAGACACCCAGGTATCACAATAAGCACGCGGGTTATTTATTTATGATGGTCGAACAGACCCAAGCATAAAACACGCTTTCGCATAAAAATTATGATAGTCAACCAGAGCACGATACAAAATACGCGGCTTGGCTCCAAACTGCGTCAGTAGACATCAATTGTGGCATCAACTGATGACGTCAACAAGGCAATAAGCCGTGTAGACGCCAGCGAGTGATTGGCGGGCGGCTTCTCGGACCGAGCACGATCAAGCCCACCGGTCGCGGCGGACACAACGTTACTTTACGGCTAGATGACGTCCTTAGCGATAAGATTTCCATACTGCACACTTCTTTTACATGTATCACCGTTAATGCACATTGCACAGTGCACAGCACACACCATGAAACACTCTGGCACAAGTCACATCAGGCCAATCCAAATCCAAATCTACATCCAAATCCAGTGTATTGAGGTCTCCATTGAAATGGCCTTTCAGCCCTATCGTCGTGCACATACAGGTAATAAAATTCGCTGACAATCACGTGAATCATTACGCAGTACGTACATTAAAAGGCTAAAATCAACGCAATAGCGAAACACTATATTGCTCCGCGGCGCATGATTGGGCCACAGGAGATTTGCAGCAGCCAAACGACGGGATTAACCAATTATAGTAGTGAATATTAAATGTGAAATCTAGCAGCAGCGATTTACGTAACTGGGCCAGGGGACAGGTCACAGTAGTTGACATGGCGAATCATTCTGACATGAATTCAGAAGGTTAACAGTGGTAATGCTGGCGTGCTAAGCTACGCTACAAAACAGCCCTGTGTAGGCAGCATGCTCAGTAGGAGAAAAAGAGCAGTGAAGTAGAAGTAGTGTAAATGTAGCGGGCTGCTATGGCGATACACAATCTGAAGGCCGATTAGGAAACAGAACTAAGCAAAGTGTCAAAGCGGCATTAGGCGACACACTGACCGGATTAGACAGTCAGATTGACTTACTGGGATTAGCTGGACTGGTCTGGTCCGATCCTGGCAGAGCTTATCGGATCCGGGGTTTGTTGGCGTCAGCTGCGGTTGCTGGCGGCAGCCGGTGTCGATGACTGGCGGCCCTGCTGGTTAACTGCATGGTGGCGAGAAATGTAGTCAGAGGCGGCATAAGGAAGTCAAAAGGCTCGGAGTCTTAGCCAGGCATAGTTCAGGGTCGCCGTGCCGAGGTGATGAATAGATGGTGGGTTTTATAGGGAACATCAAGGTCGGTTCCGGACACTGAACACAAGCTGTTACCAGGGTGCACTGTCGTGGAAGTGCTCCGAGCGCGCACTCCGCCCTAACACGTTTTTAAAAGCAATTTTGAAATATGATTTGAGCACAATGAAATGAGTTAAACACAATGAAATGAGTTAAGCACACTGAAATGTAAATGTCAGCCTCCTGATGAACTTACGTTAACGATGTCACACTTCTCGTATAACGGTTAAGGGCCCGTTACGTCAGCGCGTACCGGCACACACTCACTCACGCGCAATCATTCACCAATCCAAATACCTACAGCACCGAAAGGGTTTACATAGCACAGGATGCAGATGCAGCCACGCATTCACTCACTGGCACTCCCAGACGTAAGACTCGCCCCGCAGCGGTTCAGAATCCCCCTATCAAGGGGTGAAGTGTCCGATCGACCACACGACACTCGGGAGAGCGACGATCAATGTCGCAGACGTTCTCGTTGTCAGGATGTAGCTGCAGAGGGATCTTGAATCGGTGGTGAGCGGTCGTGCCGCCCTCCAGCAGGCTGGCTGCGATGCCGGATGTGGCCACTGCAGCTGCCGCGCGCCCCTGACTGCGGACCTTGGCCAGCAGCAGGTTCTCCAAGAACGTCTTCCCGCAGCCGCCTGGAGCCTGCATGAAGATGACACCCGACTCGTCGGTGTCCAGCCTTCGCATCACCTCGTCATAGACGGCGCGCTGGTCATCAGTCAGACGCGGCTCGTCGCGTTCAACGCGCTCGGCCAGAGCGACTGGGTCAAACTCGGGGCCGCCGGGCGGCTCGTCGTCGTCGTATTAGCGGCGGCGGCGGGGTCCAGCACCGGCGGAACTGGCAGCCCGTACTCGGCCGGGGATTTGCCGCGCAGCCGGCGCAGAATGCCAGCGATCCTGCGCAGCGCCTGCTCGCGCACTTCGTCCGCGGTGAGACCGCGTATGCCAGCTGCGCGAGCGGTGTGCTGACGGCGAGCGATATCCTCGGACATGTCGTCCCGGAACCTCATCCACAACGCCATGGGATCGCACGTAGCCTCTCCCTCGATCAGAATCTGAATCAGAGCCAAGAGGAAGCGCAAACCACCTGGAAAACGCGTCACGGTCGCCTCCTCCATAGCGCGCGTCCAGTGCGCTCCATCCTCGAGCAGCCCCAGTGCGGAGCACGCCTCACGCATGGTGGCACACACGCGGCCATCGACCGTGCGGAGGTGCTCGTAAGAGCGCGGACCTCGGACGTTGAGGAGGAGCAGGCGAAGAAGGAAAACTTCCCCCGCGCGCGGCGTCGTGGTGAACACGCGCGACAGCGTGGCAGCGGCGAACACGCCCGGCACCTCGGGATGAGGCTGGCCTTGGAGGCGCCGTCTCCAGTGGGCCGGACGGTCATCTGTGCCCCGGCCGCGTCGTGCCTGCCACGTATAGTACCGCGGCACCTCTGTGTAGAGGAGCGTCGCCGCGAACTGGTCATGCTGGCACAAATCAAAGAAGGATGTCAGCATGGAGGGATTGGCCTGCTCGCCCGCCAGGACGGCTTCCAGATTTGCGTCGCCACGGAACACGACGCGCCTCTCGTCGTCAGCCAGATGCAGCTGCAGCCGCTGGACTGGCGGATAATGGACATGGATCGGCCGCTCGGCCAGCCGCCACGATGCCTCCATGGACCCAAGGAACCGAATGTCCCTGTACTGGGCCACCTCGTCAATCACTCCGTGACTCCGTCTGGCTGAACCGCAAACATGATCCTATCAAACCCCTTGGTGACATACTTGATGCAATAGCGGATCACCCCCATCGCTTGCGTGATTACCTCGACGTTGACGCGGGAGTCCAGCGCGCGAAGGATGTGAGGATTGTAGGGGACGATCCAGCGGTTATCGATCTCAACACCGCGCCGGCCGGGCGTCTGCGCACGTCGACCGCCGTCTTCCGGCGCGCGCCGCCTGTACTTCGGATAGCTGCGCTCTGGCAGCTCTGTGGCCTCCAGGTACGGCCGCGGATATCCGACGCTGCATCGGCCGTCCTTCATGCAGACAGATTGCAGGTTCGGCGCACCGCACGGACCGTGCACCATCTTGGCACAGACGATCGCGTGAAGCTCTGGATCAGTCTCCGGATCGGGCAGCTCAGCGCACACGCACGCGTCCAGTGCGCGTGCGTGTGCTGCCGGCTGCGCGAGGCTTGTCGGCGGGCACGACCCACAGCAGGATGTGAGCGTGCGGCAGGTCACACTTCTGCCACTCAATCGTGTGCAGAATGGCCCGCTGCCGACCCAGGATGCCGCCTCGCAGCTGCTTGAGCAGCGCCTCGCCTGCAGCTTCAGGCCAAACACCTGACTGACAATGTCAGGGTGGTCGCACGGCCGATCGTGGTCACCCGGCCTCTCCCCCGGGTAGAGGGTGCGCAGAGTTCCCTCAATCTCTGGCCAGGCCGGGTTGCACGTCACGGTGATGAAGAAGTCGGCCGCGCCGAATTCCCGAACGTAGCAGAGCGCGTCCTGCAACTTGGCCATCATGTAGCGAGGGCTACCGGTCACGGATGCCGGCAGTACCACGCGTCGACCGACGGCTCGCGCGTGCTCCTCGCCGTCAGCGAGCGCGTCACGCACACTACGGATTGTCTCAGCACGGAAGCCATTCAGGCCATCCTGGTGGGTGCGCACATAGGACAGACGGTCGGCTTCGACCTTGAGCAGGGTGTCTACCAGGTACTGTTGGTACAGTCGGCCGCCTCTTGGAATGAGATTAAAGTGGCCAGGTCGGTAGCGCATGTGGAACGCCGCGTACTGACGCATTGTGACCCCGCGCTCGGTCTTCAACTGGAGTGACCACCCGTCAGTGCCGCGCGGGTGCAGCAGCACATAGAGTAGCGGATCGTATGGCGACTCGGCTCGTTGATACGGGACAGCCGTCCGCCGCGGCCCCCGCCGAAGTTAGTTGGTAGCACTGCTGCTCCACGGCGTACATTTCCTACCAGCCCATAGGGTTTACATGTTAAATGGCCTGTTTTCGGCGAGCGATATCTCGGTCACCCTTTGAAGGAATCAATGGTTCTTGGTCTCAAAGGATAGATCGATGAATTTTCTTTCGACAATTCCTCTACCATTTTTCACGAAACCCAGCCGATCTTCTACGGCGTACAGGGTAAAGATTTCTCTGCACGCCAGCACCCGCGATCCGCCTCTCTGATCGTCGACGCGCGGTCCGCGGTAGCGCAGTCGGTAGCGTATCGGGCTACGGATCCGAGGGTCGTGAGTTCGAATCCTGGGAGCGCCGCGTGATTTCGGCTAAAATTGAATGATGTAGATTTTTGAATCTTTGCATAATCAATTATTAATAGCCAATTGAATGTATCTGCCCACTAATCGGCCCCTAAAGCCTGTTATTTAAGGAATTTAAGAAATGAATGTCACGTGCGCGTCACGACTGCCAACCATTAGCGCTACCATATTCTAGTTTGAACTAACTTTTTGCTAGTCCCGACCACATATAGTAGGTTTTCTAGTAGTTATAACAGAAATTCCTACCAAAGTTCGTCCTACCCTTCACTCAATACACCCTGGTCCGCCGCGCTCGTATACGACGATGTCGCGTCGACCCCCCCCCCCATCTCATCGGGCATTAGGACTGCCACCTCCTGCTGAGTGTATGACCACGTGATGATTGATGTATAAATACACCCCCGGCGGAAGCCTGGGCAAACTGAAAAAAAGGACTGCCACCTCGCGCCCTATCGGTAGAGCATCGGACCTTGCAAGGAGTGCATGAAATCACGATTCTATATGCTTGAGATAGTTTCAGATCATTCCCGGCGCCAAAATAGCAATTTCCATATTTCCCCATTGACTTATAAGGGTTTAACCCTTTATCGGGCAGGGAACTGTATATGAGCACTTCACGGAGCACCCCTTCGGGCGCCCTGGAGCCACCCGACGTATCTTTCCAAGGCCATCATACACATCCGACCAATCAGCGAGGTTCAGGGGACATCGTAGGCCGTGACGTCACAGCCGTCATTGCTCTGGGATTTGGTACCACCCTTGCAAACTTCGGCCCTATCCAAAATCGCGAAAGTCTGTTCCGCGCGCTGGCTTGCTTCAGACACCTCAGGCCCTACCTCTGTTCATGATGTCGGTAAGTTGATGAAAGTGTGCATAATAAGAGTTCAATATGTGCGTCAAACAGTGATAAACGCGACATTTACTGAAACGTTTTGGGAAGTGGTCACATCTTTTGGCAAGATGTGCAAATATTGCGATGATCAAATATAGACATGCGCCCGTTTCACAGACGGCATTGTTTACGGCAGAAGGTCCCATAAATGGACATACGCCCGACTACAATAAAACTGGTATTTTTGGGAAGACCCCATATATAGACATATGCCCCATCTAGGGCAATCATCATTTTTGATAGTGGCACATGTATAACACATTATAATGATTTATACTGAATGGTCTGTGAAGATCACTGGTATGTACGCCCCCCCCCTGCAGTTGCTATGGCACACCTATGTGGCGGAAAATCGGAGCCCCTGCCACGTAGGCCGGCTGGCGGCCGGCATTGACTGGGGGGGGGGGGGGGATCGAATGTAGAACTATCCTACATTCTATCCTGTCATATCGGGGCGTCACTTTTGTAATTTATGGGATTTGTTTGAGCAACCCAACAATTCTTCTTTTTGCAGCTGCCTCAGGGAATGTTCAGCCGCCGCAGTGAGCACCATGGCCGCGCCATTGTGCCAGCCAGTGCCAATGTCAGTGATGACGACAGCCTGGACGATGACGACGACGTAGCCGACCCTGACTTTCTGCCACAACGCCACCACGACCCCGAGACTCCAGGCCCCAGTGATGCGCCTCCTACCACCAAGGGGAAGCGTGCCAGGCCCTCACTCCAAATGATGGAGGCACAGTCGTCCGAGGACGAGGATGTCGAAGAGGACAAGGACGAGGAAGAAGAGGGGGGAATCAGCAGGCCTCCAGCATCCAAGAAGGCAAAAAGGCCAACGACTAAGAAGGTGCCTGCAAGGCCTACAACTTGGCAGAAAGTGGACGTCTCTTATCCAGCTCTGCCAGCTTTTGAGCACCCGGCGCCTCTCTATGTCAGGAGTCCACAACAGTACTTTTTCCCCTTCTTCAGTGAGCAGATGGTCCGGCACATCGCATACCAGACCAACCTTTATGCCACCCAAAAGGACGTGAACACCACCTTCTCTACCACCGATGACGAAATCGTGAATTTCGTCGCTGTGCTGCTGTACATGGGTGTCATGGAAGCTCCATCACTGGAAGACTACTGGTCTATGAAACTCAGGGTTCCCCAAGTGGCTGAAGTGATGTCCTCGAAGAGGTTTCGCCTGCTGCGGGGGACACTGCATTTCAACGACAACTCACGAGCAGGTGGCAGCGTTGATCGCTTTTTCAAGATACGACCGCTCTTCAGCTTCATCAACACATCGTTCCAGAGCGTGCCCCAAACCAGCAAGCAGTCCATCGACGAGGTGATGGTGGGCTACAAGGGCAAGACCGCGGGCAATCTGAGGCAATACATCAGGAACAAGCCAGACAAGTGGGGATTCAAGCTGTTCTCCAGAGCCTCCGAGGATGGGTTCGTCCATGACATGGTGCTGTATCAAGGCAAGACGACTCTGCAGAGCCATGGTGTCACCATGACCTCAGCAGAAGAAGCCATGGGAGTCACCAGCCAGATAGTCGCTGCCCTGGTCAGCACCATGAACTTGTCATCAACCACTGTCGTCTTCGCGGACAACTACTTCACGAGCTTGGAGCTCGTGAGGTACCTGCAGGGGAAGGGCTGCAGGTACACAGGAACTGCGCGAGACAACAGGATCGGCAAGCCTCCCCTGAAGTCAGTGAAGGACATGGAGAAGAAGAGCGTCCCCCGTGGCAGCATTGACTACGTCACAAGTGATGACGGTATTCTGGCAGTCCGGTGGAAGGACAACAAGGTCGTGACAATGCTGTCCACTGACCTGGGGGTGGAGCCAGTGACTACCTGCCAGAGGTACAGCAATGAAACAAAGAAGAAGGATGATGTTCCCTGCCCAGAAGTGATAAAGAGCTACAACGCCAACATGGGGGGAATCGACAAGAGTGACATGCTGATCCACCTGTACAGAACACCGATGAAGTCGAAAAGGTGGTATATGCGGCTCTTCGCATACGTGATTGACATCTGTCTCACCAATGCCTGGCTCCTATACCGCCGAGACTGCCAAGCCCTGAACGAAACTGGGATGTCACTGAAGGACTTCCGGATCGAAGTATTCTACGCAGCCCGCTGCAGGAACCCAACAGTCCATCGGCCCCTGCTGAGAACCTCGGTGACATCCGCAGTCCCCAGCAGCAGCGCTGACATCCCTCCAGCTGTTCGGGGACACCGCAGCCATACGCCGGCTGCTTCAGTGCGCTTCGACACAACGCTGTTCCATGTTCCCATGTATGTGACACGTCAGACCTGCAAGTTCTGCAGCAAGAAGGGGCACATCATGCGCTCTAACTTCCTCTGCAGGGTGTGCAAGGTGCACCTGTGTTTGAATGGAGAAAGAAACTGCTTCTTGCAGTACCATGAACGCGTTGCCTAAAGGGCGTGCAAGGTGGGCGTTGCCTCCGTGGGCGGTTCTTAGTGTGTCGTGGTAACAAAGCCTGGAGGGCATTCAGGGTATCCAGGGTATTCAGAACTCAGGACATTCAGGGATTTCAGGGTATGACTGCGCCTCAGTGGGGCAAAAGTGATTTCTGGTGTGCCATGAAAATGTTTTCTAGCAGGGTGAATTTCAGTGTGATGCATTGGACCTAGCAGAGTGTGCAATGTTCACCTGCCCCTCAGTGGAAAATACATTACATTTAGCAGTTATGTGCGAGTGTTGCCTGTAGCGAGCATATTGTCCGGCAGCACCATGGGGGGTGATTACTGAAGTATAAATAGGTACTGGTTTCGGTACCAAGTAAATTTTCCCGCAAGTGAATTTACGATGGCAGTTTGACCGTAGGCTGGCGAGGCCCCATATTTCAGCACTTCAAAGTGTCGTGATTTGCACTGGAAACATAAGTTCTCGAAACAATCACATGAGTAAAAAAGTCTTACAAAGGTTCAAATTAACATGATCTAGGGCCAGAAGAATGGATTTCCAATTATTTCTATGGGTGCCCGGTAAAGGGTTAACGTATAAGTTCCCTGTATCTGAGGATTTTTAAAGATTTCATCTTGTTCTCCACTCAATTCTGCGCAAGATGCCGGGTTCCGTGTCTACATAGCTTGAACGTAACGGATGCAGCGGCTGCAAACGTAAATCGAGGTCCCGAATTCCCTATTCCCCAACACAGGCGGCGGCCGCTTCCTGGTCTGCGCAACATGGCGGCACCGTTGGACACCATCTGGCGGCCGATGCGCCTTCCACATCATAGGGACCCTGTTAAGTATCGGGGTTACCTACATGACTCATGAGCACAGTAAATACGTATTTAGCCGTAATTCGAATTAGGAACGCATTACCGAATCATGTAGCCACCTGCTAGTACGAATCGGCGATCCGATCCGCGGTTACATGAGCAAAGCAAATACGTATCACGATCGGATTCACCGCTAATGCGAATCAGGAGCGTACTACCGACTCATGTATCCACCTGCTAATACGAATCGGCGGTCCGAACAAAATCCGCAGGGAAAGAGGCTTAGAAGCGAATAGGACCAAGATACGTATTACAGGAACTATTTCTTTCCAAAAAGAAACATTAAAATGCAAAATAATAGGTATTTTTTTCATTTGTTT